TTGATTTTTCAGAAAGCGTGGAGGACTACTGCACATTCTGCAACCTTGTCAACAGGGAAAACTGTGAGGCTTGTATGATGGTAAGAAACATAGAACTGTATGAGAAATAAATGCCATAAACTGCCTAAGGATCATGATTCTTGTAAAAATTCCACATCAGTAAACATTTTCATCATGCTGATAGGCATCTGTTAGGTACTGCTGACATGTGGAAGGAATAGCATGGGTGAATGCAAAGTATGTCAGGTTTCAGAGGAACATTATAACTTCTGTGATTCTCATTTTCTTTCAATTGTTAGCTGTAGCAAAATAATTTGGTCCTGTGATTTCATTTTCTCAATTGTTACTTATCAAAGGCCCAGTGTGATTCTTGCAAGAGGTGGGCACATATGCCCTGCATTCCAGAAGGAACCAATCAAGACCACCTGACTGATGAGAAGAAAGAATACAACTGCAAAAATTGTGCATAGTTCCCTTCTTTACCAAAAAAAAAAAACCCCAAAACCCATTATGTTTAAATGTCTCTTGTTCAAAACATAATGCAACCAAAAGAAATTTTTTTATTTATATACCAGATTATAATAATAAATGTTTTTCATTTGAAAAAAATATTCTCGGTATTTGTGTCCATGTGTATAATGCAAATTATAAAAGCAGCAAAGGGGAAGCAAATCGTGAGTGTTTTTGACCACAAAACCCCATCCCTCCTGATTTGCAACCATCCCTGGACCAGTGACAGGTGCATGGGCAGCCAAGTCATTGGAAATAAGCAAGGAGGAAGCCAGTGAATAAAATCAAAGGGGCCACTGTGGTATCACCTTGGGCTCATGGGCATGCTCGGTACCCCCAAACCTTACCTCCCTTTTCACGTATCAACTGCGCACATTAGCTAGGAGGGAGGGAATTGAGACTGTTTTCGAACAAAAACCCCATCCCTCCTGATTCACAACCCCTGGACCAGGTGGTAAAATCAATTTGGCACATCAGCAAGGAGGAAGCAAATCGTGAGTGTTTTTCCACCAAAACCCCATCCCTCCTGATGTGCAACCCTGGCCAGGCAGTAGCAAGTCCTGAGAAGTAGCCAAGATGGTCACTTTGCATGGCAGAAACTGCACCTAGTTGCAAAAGGGGAGGGTTGAGATTTGTGTCGTCACAGGCTGCGAGTCACTTCCTGCTGCCGGGACTGACCCCAGCGATCGCTCCCACCCAGCTGCTCCTGGGTCCTAGCGATATCCCCCACACCGCGCTTCGCATCTCTGCGTCTGGCTTCTTTGGGCTTGTCTACACTGGTACTTTACAGCGCTGCAACTTTCTCGCTCAGGGGTGTGAAAAAACCACCCCCCTGAGCTCTGCAAGTTTCAGCTCCGGCAAGCGCCCCTGTAGACAGCGCACCAGCGCTGGGTGGGAGCTACGCCCCTCACGGAGGTGGTTTTTTGCTGTGCCACGACTACACAAGCCACCTTCAAGCGCTGCCATGGCAGCGCTTTAATCTCGCCGGTGGGGACAAGCCCTTACACTCACAGACTTTAACATCAGAAGGGCCCATCAGGATCATCTAGACCAGGGGTTCTCACGACAAAATTTTTGGTGGCCTCAGAGTTGGTGGCTCTCGCTGGTGGCCGCTCTGACACTTTTCCCTAAAATACTTAATTAAATTTAGGAAAAACCAATAAATATGCACAGAGGTAAGCGGGGGAATGGTCCCACTATTGTGAGGAACTTTCCTGGCTTATACACCACCCAGGTGGAGTCTTCACTCCCACTCCCTTCACCCAGAGACCTGAATGACCTTGAGGGCTCCCCTTCCACTCTAGTCCCCGTAACCCGGACAAGGCTGGATCCAGCATTCCTGTGGGGCTCGACCCCCAGGACAGGGTCTAGGGTGTCCCCCCTCCGGGGTGCTTTCTCCGCTCCAGACACTTCCCTGAGCGTTGCAGAGTTCAGAACAAATACAATTCATTCGGCAGGAAGTAATAAAAAAAATGGGAACAGTGAAAGGAAAACACATCACCCCGCTCTGTAGGATGAACCACAACCAGCCGCCTCTGGAATGCCCAGGCAGTTCACAGTCTGTTCCTCGCCCATCCCAGGCCTCCTGGCCAGGCCCTGGCTGTGCTGCAGGGATGCAGCAGCTTGGAGAGTTACTCTGGCGGTGGCCAGGTGCCCTTATGCTCTAGGTGTCAGGACCCTTCTTCCCAGCATCGACCCCAGTCATGGTTATGATCTGCCTCTCAGTCCAGGCTGCAAGCCCACTGCCCAGGGTCCCCCCTCGCTCTCCCCAGCTGCTTACAGCACCCGGCTCTGGACTGCTCCTGACTCCCTCATTGGCCTGCCTGCCCTGTCAATCAGGCTGACCTGGAGTGCTGACCCCTCCCCACTGTCAGTCTCAGGATTTTGATTTCCCACTGGCTGTTCCCTTTTCTTTTGGTGCTGGGGAGAGCCAACCAACCCCCCCACCCCACTAAGTGTCAGTGAGGGACCAACAGTCCCCTTACCCAGAGACAACATCAACATCGTAATTTATTTATTGCTAGCAAGTTAAGTCTGCTGCTGTGAAAAGTGATATGTGTATGCTTGTTCATATTTTTCACAGCCTCTCAGCTAGCTACTTCGGTTGCCACCTTGGTAATATTTAAAACCCGGACACTCCAGCAGGAGAGCCGGAACCTCCCCTGCCCCGCCTCTTTCCCCTGAGGCCCCGCCCCAACTCCGCCTCTTCCCCCGAGGTTCTGCCCTCCCCCCGTCAACTCCTCTTCTCCCCCTCCCTGCCTGGGTCAGGAGGGACTTGCCTGTGGAGCCGGGGCTGGGAGTTGGAGCTGCTCAATGCAGGTAGGAGGCAGCCCCGGTTGAGTAGGGGCAGGGCAGGTGATGACCCAGTGCCTCCCCTACCCATAGTAACTCAACTTTGGGTGTCCAGTCAGTTGATCTGACTGCACACTGTTAGGTCCCCTTTGTGACTGGACTTTCCGGTCAAAAACTGGACACCTGGCCATCCTAGCAGCACCCACTGTGCAATAAGTCCTGAGAATGCGTCGGGGACAACTTCTGCTTTCTGATGATGGGGGAAGGGTTAGATTCAGTTCTGACCAGCAGGGAGAAATTCGTTGGTCTCGATGAAATTACTATAAGGTGGGTGCACAACTGGTTGAAAGACTGTAGCTTTCAATGATCTGGTGTCAAACTGGGAGGGGAACGCTGGGGGTCAAGAAGCCCAAGGTGGCTTACCCTGCTCTTTGCAGGGAACAGGGAGGGGAGAGGGGTGAAGCCCACCCAGAGTTGTGGGGCAGTCAGGCTCCTAGGTGGGAGCTGCTGCTGGAGTTGACAGAGCGGGCTCTCAGCTCCCCCTACTACCCCTCTTAGGTTGGTGGAAGTGCTCCTGGTGAGAACGCGCCTCACCAACCCAAGGAGGGTCATGTGGACATCGGCTTCCGCAGTCATTACTGTGGTAGCTGTAAGTCAACCTAATATACATAGGTGTTGGCTTGGCGTGTAGACGTACCCTTACAAGCAAAAGGATTTCTCTCACACAAAAGCTTTCAGCAGTCCATGCTCACTGGAAAGCCTTCCAGCTAGGAGTTCAATGATGCTCCTATTGTCTTTCAAGTGATCATGCTTCTGAAAGTAGTGATGGGGAAGGGGAGGTGGCCAGAGTCCTTTCCCCCCCCGCCCTTCTTATACTCAGACCCTTTCTAGTGGAAAAGTCTTTGCTGGGTCAGGCAACTCCATGGCTTATATGAGCTCCAAACCGTCCTTCAGATGAATTGTAAATTTCTTTGTTTACCCCTTTCTTCCTATTGGTGGATGGCCAGATAAGAGTTTTCTAACACCCACGGTCGGTCCTTTGTCATCTCTGAGGAGTTAGTCTGTGGACGTTCCCCAGAACGATGACATATTTCAGTAACAAATAGGGTTACCATACATCTGGATTTTCCCAGACAGAGCCTCTTTTATGAGCCTGCTTTCTCTGTCTGAGCGGGGTTTTCCCATAATAGCAAATGTCCTGGGGTTTTGCAGAGCAGACAGACTGCAGCTCAGAAACAGCCCTGATTGGTCACTTCCCAATTGGTCCATGCCCCTGCATCTACAGCTGATAGATTGCTGCCAGATCCAACCCACCCAGGCCCCAGCTCCCAACCCCAGGGAGGGGGTCCCACAGGTAGGTCCTGACTGATGTTTGTCGTTGCATTCTGAGCTTGTTCCAGCACCCTGCCACTGTGACGGTGACCGACACTGCCTTCACCTCATGAATACCCCCCCCGCACCTCCCCCCGCACCCCCAACTCTAACCTCCCAGCTCCCTGCGCATCAGTGTCCTCTTTTGGGGGACCTAGAATATGGTCACCCTAGTAACAAACATACAGTAAAATCTCACCATTCTACATGCAGTTGTGTTACACACATTTCAACAGCATAATGTTCAGCAGATCATCAGTTTTCCAATGATTCCTCACCAGGCACTCTTTATATACAATATATCATAACCATCTTGAAGTGGTTAACATGAAGTACAGGGGCTTAGTCACAAGAGAGATGCAGCGTGGGGTGAGTGGGGCAGAGACAGTCTCTCTTGTCCCCACGCAGGACACTGCAGTAGATGGGGAGGGGATTGTGACAGGTTCCTCCTAGGGTACCATCTGGAACTGGGGTACCACTGAGCCCCCCTATCCAACCAGCCTGTGCCCCCTATACACTGTACTGCTGTGACCAGCCTGCCAAGCCCTCTCCCAGGCTTCAGTCTGCACGTTACCAGCACACATACAGGTAGGGACACACCCAGCTGGAGTTCATACAGACTCTGTGATCAGCTCTGCATGGGAAGGCACAGATAAGGCACCTGAGAGTTCCTGCATCCCCGTCTGGAGTTTAAAGCCAAAATTATACCATCCTGCGCTGCACAGGGAACTGTACAGCGTAAGCTCCTGAAATTCACCCCCTCCCTCAATGTGGAGAGGAACAGACAACAGCTTTCTGCTCTAAGTTATGTCTTCCACACACACTGGTTTTAGATAAAGCAAAAACAAGTTTATTAACTACAAAAGATAGATTTTAAAAGATTATAAGGGATAGCAAACAGATCAAAGCAGATTACCTAGCAAATACACAAAACACAATCTAAGTTTAATATACTAAAGAAATTGGATATGAATAGCAACTTCTCACCCTAAATGATGATTTAAGCCAGTTTTAGGTATTCTTAAAGAGGGCCAGCTGCCCTTGTTTGCAGCTTAAAATTCCCAGGTATTCCTTTCACAGGCTAGAAACCCCTCTAGCCTGGGTTCAGCACTTCTCCCCAGTTCAGTGCTTGTTCCTCAGGTGTTTCCCAGAGTCTCCTTTGGGCAGAGAATAAGGGAAGAACCATGATGATGTCACTCCCCTGCCTTAAATAGCTTTTGCATATGGTGGGAACCCTTTGTCGCCAAGCTTGGTCCCACGCCTTTCAGTGGAAAAACACTGGTTCTCCAAGATGGAGTCCAGTACCAGGTGATCTGGTCACATGACCCTGTAGCATCCCAGCAGCCATGACTTGGAGGTGGTTTGTAGCTTCCTCAGGAAGGCTCCCTGGTGGGAGATTAGCTTCGTTGAAGATCTATTGTTCTCTCCAATGGCCCTTCCCAGCCAGCCATTTAGACTGCCAATCTTTTGCTTAGTGGGCGTTCCCCAGGTGTAAACACATTTGTAATACAGATACACAGTCAATATTCCTAACTTTAGATATAAAAATGATAGATGCATACAAATAGGATAATCATATTCAGTAAATCATAACCTTTTCAATGATATCTCACATGTCCTATCTTGTATAAAATACATCCTAGTTATGCCATAACCATATCATAATAGTACAGAGGTGGGCAAACTACGGCCTGTGGGCCACATCCGGCCCGCGGGACAGTCCTGCCCGGCTCTTGGGCCCCCGGCCCCATCTCTGCTGTCCCCCCTCACCCGCAGCCATGTCGCCATGCAGGCAGCGCTCTGGGTGGCGGGGCTGCACACTCCTGCAGCGCCGCGTGTCTGGCTCCAGCCGAGCGGTGCGGCTGCCAGACATGCTGCTCTGAGTGGCACGTGGTAAGGGGGCTGGGGGGTTGGATAAAGGGCAGGGGGTCCTGGGGGTCCATCAGGAGATAGGTAGCAGGAGGCAGTTAGATGGGGTGGAGGTTCGGGGGGGGGGATTGTAAGGGGACGGGGAAAGGGGGGGTGGACAGGCATGGGAGTTGCGGAGGGCCTGTCAGGGGGTGGGGGTGTGGATAGGGAGCGGGGAGGTTGGATAGAGGGGTGGGGTCCCGGGGGGGGCAGGGGTCCTGGGAGGGGCAGTCAGGGGACAAGGTGTAGGGGGGGTTGGATGGGTGGAGGGTTCTGAGGGGGGCAGTCAAGGGTTGGGAAGTGGGCGGGGTCAGATAGGGGGCAGGGGCCAGGCTGTTTGAGGAGGCACAGACTTCCCTACCCAGCCCTCTATACAGTTTTGCAACCCCTATGTGGCCCACAGGCCAAAAAGTTTGCCCACCCCTGTAATAGTATCTCTGTGAAGAATACGGGATGCAGTGTCACGGTGACCAGGTGGGCTGTCAGGTTCCCCATTTCCCTCTGGCCTCAATGCTGGGGGTCGGCCTGGCTCCAAGGCTGGCCCAGGTCTGTTGACATCCCTGGCTCCCTTCTTGCATGTACCCAATCTTGGCATCTCAGCAGTAGGGAGATGCTGCCCCCTCCCCCATCATTCTTTTTGGGATGTTGTCCATGGCCCTTTAGAGCTCAGGGGCAGCTTCACGCGACACTCACAGTCCAATTCTAGTTTTTCTCTGGCACTGGTGCAGCGAGTTCACAGTTCTGAGCTTCAGCCGTCTGGCTCTGAGGAGCAAACCCAGCAGTTTCCCAGCTCTGTTCCCCCAACATCTCCCCCTCCCAACGGTATCTCACAGCTCTGCAGGGATCAGGCAGTAACTTCATTCCCCGTTTCAGTCTCAGCCTCTCACACTGTGACTCTAGCTCGCAGCATCAGTGCTTGTGCTGAGAGACACTGATCACTGTCGTTGTTCAAACCACACACAAAAATCTCATGACAAAGGGTTATATAAAGATTAGAATAAAATCTAAAAAAGGACGATTTTGGCAAATGACCATTTGTCTCATGAAGTCCTCAACAAATCTGAGCAACATCCTGTCAAACTAAACCAATATCAAGTATGTGACCTAACGGCCTTCACGAAGAGAGAAAAACCCACAATCTATAAAACACTTTCACATTCATAAAGTGAAATCTCAGTGAATCCTTTAAGACTCAAAATCAGGGGGGAAAAAGGTACCTATTTTCTTCTAAAGTGGCTAAAAAGGCTTCATTTCTCGCCTCATTATTTGGTTGTATTAGTTGCAAAAGTTTGAGCATCAATATAATTAAAGTATGAGCAAGAAAGACAAAAAACCTTCCCATCTACAAATGATCTGGACTAACCTAAACAAAAACTGAAAGCAATTTTACCAATAGATGGAAACAGGGCTACAAGTCAAACTGTGCTTTGAGGTTCATTGGGATTTCCCCGCCCGCTCCCAGGTCTGTGACACTTCCTTCTCAAGCCCTCCAGAGTCTGACTTAAGATCATAGACATCAAAACTGTGATTCCTAAGCATGGAGAGCCAGGTACACGGCGGAAAGTGACACCTTGGGAGGTGCAGGGGTAGAACGGGGACAGGATAAAACTCTCCATTGCTGGGACAGAAGCTGCTGTGTTGAGTGTGGAGAGTGACGGTGCTGGGGGAAAGAGGGAATCCCTCAGATTCACCCCATTGCCCTAAAATAGCACAGAAGCTAAAACACCACATTTTACTGTCTCTGCTCCCTACTTTTTTTAGCATCTAGTTAATTCTGGTGCATAAGGGAGAAAATGTACAAACACTTTAATGCTTTTCAGCAGGGCCTGGAGTAATGTGAGACTGACTATCTGGGAATGAGAAAATCCAGCCCCAAAGGGGGAACTCAGGGACTAATGATCACTCTGCGAATGGGAGGGGGTCAGAACACATAAGTAAGGATATGATTTTGTTATGGATTTGTGGAAGTCATGGAATCTGCGACTTCCAGAGACCTCTGTGACTTCAGCCCATGGTGGCTCGGAGCTTCGGGGTCCCCCTGCCACCTGTGGCAGCCAAGAGCTGCTCCCGGCCGCCATGGGTAGCTCCCATGGCCCTGAGTCACCATGGGCGGCTGGGGCTCCCCACAGCTCCCAGCTGCCACAGGTGGCGGGAGGCCCAGGAGCTCCGAGCCAAGAATGGTGGGGGGAACTCCCAGACAGAGCCCCCGCAGCTGCCCAGCCACCATAAGACCCCAGAGCCCCAGCAGCATGGGTGATGGAGCCTTCTCCCTCCCCATATTGTCATGGATATTATTAGTAAAAGTCACGGACAGGTCACCTGTCCGTGACTTTTATTAAAAATATCCCTGACAAAACATTAGTCTTACACATAAAATGCTCAGGGTGAGTTTACACTACGAAATCCAGTGCAGGGTCACAAAAATGCACTGGCTAATCCTGACCATGATTCCTACCACAGACAGATGCTCAGAGGCTGATGCTGCGGAGTCAGAGGTGGGATCTCCAGGCCTCCCACAAAAGGCCCTGTGGGGATCAGCCCCTCCCAGTGGTGCTGTCTGAATGCAGTGGGGGCAGGGAGAAGGGGCAGAGGGGGTGAGTGAGGAGAGGAAGCACCTTGCTACCCCTGTGCTCTCCCTCGCCTCTTATCCCATGATCCCCAAACACTCGATAGCCCAGCACCCAGCTCCCCCTGCTTCCTAGCTACACCAGCCCCAACCGTTCAATCCCCAGTTTCCTCCCCAGAATCCATCAGCCTAGTCCCTCAATATTTGAGCCCCCAGAGCCCAGGACCCTGGGGGATTCAGGGAGGGGAGGAGTAACCAGCCCCAGGGACACTCCCCCTGCAGGGAACAGCCCCAGGTAAGTGGGGGAGCCCAGCCCAGGGGCTGGTGGAAGATGGGGGATGGGGACAGGTATGTAGAGTGAAGGTGGGGCCTGGCCAGAGTGTCCCTCTCCTCATCCTCATGGCAGGGGAACCCCGTCTGGGAGGGGAAGGGAGAGGGGGGAACTTCAGCCAGGCAGAGGGAGCGTCTGGAGGAGTTTCTCTCTCTCCCATCCCCCACCTGTGGCCCATCAGCTCGGCAGCCAGGGCTGTAGCAGGGAGGAGGGGCTGATCGGGGCTTCTCCTCCTCTGCCTGGGGAGTCTGTCACTGACCAGCTGCTGCTCGGCTGCTGGATCCTCGCCCCAGCAATGGACAGACGGATCCCTGGGAGCCAAATGCCCCCGATGTGTGAGGGAACGAGGAAATGGGTTTCTCACCATGGCCGGCCCTAATCAGGGCACTCAGAGAATTTCCCTGCTGTGTGGAGGGGTCTCTGATGTCCAACATGGTGTTAGCTCCACTTGGAGCATTTTCCACACTGAGAATATCTCAGAGGATTCTTCACTGTGCAGATTTGCAGGTGCCTGATACTCCAGGACCACCAAATGCAGCTTCCCCCACATTCTATTCTGTGGGTCACCGACGTGTGAAGTCAAATTGAATCTTTTCCTGCGGTCAAGCTGTTTCTAGGGTCTCTCACCCTTGTGGATTCTCTGATGTTTGGTAAGCTCTGAGCTCTTACTGAAGCTTTCCTCACAGTAAAAGCATTTATAAGGTCTCTCTCCCATGTGGATTCTTCCATGTTTAATAAGGGATGAGTGCCTAGCAAAAGTTTTCCCACAGTCCAGGCATTTATGGGGTTTCTCTTCTGTGTGGGTTTTCTGATGTGAATTAAGGGTTGATTTCAAACTGAAACTTTTCCCACACTCAAGGCATTTATAAGGTCTTTCTCCTGTGTGGATTCTCCCATGTTTAGTAAGGGATGAACTTTCTATAAAACCTTTCCCACACTCGAGGCATTTATGGGGTCTTTCTCCTGTGTGGATTCTCCCATGTTTAGTAAGGGATGAACTTTCTATAAAACCTTTCCCACACTCAATGCATTTATAGGGTCTCTCTCCTGTGTGGATTCTCCTGTGATTAATTAGTGATGAACTGTGCTTAAAACTTTTCCCACACTCAAGGCATAGATTAGGTCTCTCTCCTGTGTGAGTTCGCTGATGTGTAATAAGATTTGAGCTCTGACTAAAACTTTTCCCACACTCAAGGCATTTATAAGGTCTCTCTCCTGTGTGCAGTCTCTGGTGTATAATAAGTTGTGACTTCTGACTGAAAGTTTTCCCACAGTCCAAGCATTTATGGGGTCTCTCTCCTGTGTGGATTGCCTGATGTCTTGTAAGTTTTGTTCTCTCAATGAAACTTTTCCCACAGTGGATGCATTCATAGGGTTTGTCACCTGTGTGGATTCTCCTATGTTTAGTGAGGTGTGAGTGACGAATGAAATTTTTCCCACACTCAAGGCATTTATACGGTCTCTCACCTGTGTGGATTCTCCTATGTTTAATAAGGTACGAGCTTTGACCGAAAGTTTTCCCACAATCCAAGCATTTATACGGTCTTTCTGCTGTGTGGATTCCCCTATGTTTAATAAGGTTTGAGCGCTGACTGAAAGTTTTCCCACAGTCCAAGCATTTATGTGGTTTCTCTCCCGTGTGTGTTTTGTGATGTCTATTAAGGGTTGATTTCAAACTGAAACTTTTCCCACACTCAAGGCACCTATAGGGTTTCTCTCCTGTATGCAGTCTCTGATGTGGAAGAAGGAGTGACCTCTGACTAAAACTTCTCCCGAACTCCAGGTATTTATAGGGTCTCTCTCCTGTGTGCAATCTCTGGTGTATGATAAAGTTTGACTTCTCGCTGAAGCTTTTCCCACATTCCAGGCATTTATAGGGCTTCTCTCCTGTGTGAGTTCTCCCATGTTTAAGAAAGTTTTCACTGAAATGGAATCTTTTCCCACAGTCAAGGCATTTGTAGGATTTCTCTTCATTGTGACTTGTCTGCTGGACTGTGGTTTCCTTGAGATCCTTGCATCCTCCGCCACGTTCAATGGATTTATTTAGTTTCTTCCTGGGATAGTTTCTCAGCTGCATCACTGATCTGTGTTGATCTCCCCAGGCTTCTCCCTGTTCCAAGCACTGGGAAAAATTCCCTTCAGCTCTTCTCAAAACTATCTCCTGCGGTTCCACTTTCCGAGGACCTTCCTGCTGCTGATTCTCTTCCTTGTTCCCACTCACTGTCCTATCACCTTCTGGGAGAGAGAGAATTCAGAATCACTGCCTATGACAGGGAGAAAGGGGAATAGCACGGGGTAACGAACAACACAGTGACTGTTGGGGAGCTGGAGACATTGGATTCTGCCTCCACATCCCACCGAAACACTCCCAGGGAAGTAAAGTCAGGGGGGAAATTCCCGACAGTTAACAGGATGGGTGGGAAGCTGTGGCTGCTATTTTGCTTGATGATACGACACCTGCTGTCTGCAGCCCTGACCTGGGTGAGATGGGGCAGAACTGAGAGCTCTCACTCATGGCACATTTTGGGAGTCCCAGCTTTTTCCCTCACTCACAAGATGGTTCTTTCTCAGTTTCCCTGACTCCTCACCTGTGCAGGTGCCTCTCAGGCTCTCCCCTTCCTCACCGGCCTGGAGATCAGGGACCCATGGCTCTTCCCCTCGTTCCAGACGGTTGATCACATCAGGTTTGGGAATGGGGAATCCTGCTCGGGGTGAAATCAGGAAAGCTCAGGGCTCATAGAGTCTTGGTAGATTATTTGTGACAAGGAACATTCCCTGAGTTTAACCTGACCCTACATGGGACTGTGGTAACTCAGACCTCTTGGGAGCAGACGACATCTGGGAGCTGGGAAGGAGGTGTTGTTACACCCCCACTTGGAGGTCTCAGGATAGGTGTGCTCTGTGGGACTTGATGACACACACACAGTTCGGGTGTTAAACTCCTGCCTATTTCCAAGCCTGCAGAACCTAGAGCCCTCCCCATCTATGGAACTAGTCCCAAGAGGGCCAGTGAACAGTTTTGTATGAAGGAGAAATAATATAGACAGGGTGTGACGTTATTGACGTGAACTGGGACGTATAGAACATTGTTGCAACCAAGGTCCCAAAGTGGCACCAAATCTTGTATAAAGGGGGTCAAATAAGGTATCTAAGATGAGGTTATGGGTTGCTGGTTAGGATTATGCTATCTGTTTGCATGTATCATTTTTGTATTTAAAGATATAAGTATCGTCTCTATACTGTCTGTATTCCAAACTTATGCTATGCTTCTGGGTGACACCCCAGACAAGTTGGTGCCAGCTCTGCCTAGCCTGCTTGATGGCCCATTAAGGACCATCCGCTATACAATTGACCCACTGAGAGAAGGCAGACACGCCTTGCGACTCAGCAAGGCATGCAGGGACCTGCCTATGGACAGAACTCTGAGGTTTTTCCAGGCCAGGTGATGGACAGCTTGTCTTTGAAACAAAGAAAGACAGACCACATGGCAAGAGAATATAAAAAGCAGCTGCAGCTCCTCCATCTTGTCTTCAATCCTGCTTCTGATCTCTGGAGGGACTTTGCTACACTGAAGCTTTGAACGGAGGACTGAATGACCCATCCCAGCTGTGGATGTCCTCCAGAAACTTGATTTGAACCTGCAGTTTATTCCATCACTGCTGCAAGCCTGAACCAAGAACTTTGCCATTACTGTATGTCATTGATTCCATTTAACCAATTCTAGCTCTCATCTATATCTTTTTCCTTTTATGAATAAACCTTTAGATTTTAGATTCTAAGGATTGGCAACAGCGTGATTTGTGGGTAAGATCTGATTTGTATATTGACCTGAGTCTGGGGCTTGGTCCTTTGGGATCGAAAGAACCTTTTTTCTTTTACTGGGGTATTGGTTTTCATAACCATTTGTTCCCATAATGAGTGGCACTGGTGGAGACACTAGGAAACTGGAGTGTCTAAGAGAATTGCTTGTGTGACTTGTGGTTAGCCAGTGGGGTAAAACCAAAGTCTTCTCTCTTTGGCTGGTTTGGTTTGCCTTGATGTGCACAGAAATCCCAGCCTTGGGCCGTAAGTGCCCTGCTTTAAGCAATTTGTCCTGAATTGGCACTCTCAGTTGTGTCCCGCCAGAACCAGCCTCTTTACACATGGCAATACCCTGCTTCTGGCCCCTTGAAAGCTGGAGAGATGGGGACAAATTAGCCTGTCCATTAGGTTTCTGACTCCCTTGTTCCCTGGAAGGAGATGTGGAGATAAAAGGGTGTCTCACACTGGAGCTGTAGATCATGCAACTCTCTCCCACCAATCCAACTGGCCAGGGAAGAACCTGACCAGAGTCAGACATGCAGACCCCAAGGCTTCTAATAACAGAGGGGACGGGAATCGCTTACCCAGCGAGGTCACCATCTCATAGTTCTCCTGCATGACATCCCTGTAGAGGGCTCTCTGAGTGGGGTCCAGCAGCGCCCCCTGCCCCTGGGTGAAATACACAGCCACCTCTTCAAAGGTCACTGGCATCTGAAACAACAAGTATCCCCCACTCAGCACCTGCTGCCCCAGCCACAATCCCACTATTCACAGGGGAGGAGGCCCAGAAAAGCAAAATCCCACCCCCATCCTGCTCAGAGCAGCCAGATGGCTTCAGGGGGTGGGTAGAAGGTGAGAGCTCCTTGTTCCCCACAGCAGACGGAGAAGGGCAGCACCTTCTCATTTCCCACACACCTGCCAGCCATAGGCTGTTACGGGAAGCAGAGCTCTGAGCCAGGGACAGGAATCCTGAGAGCTTCCCTTCGTATTTCACCGCAGCTTCTGCGTAGTGGGTCCAGGCTCCAGCACTGGGAGTCTGCTCAGTTTTCTCAGCCTTCCCCAGGGGGGTGTTTCCTGTTTCAGAAATGGGGCAATCCCCCCCCCCCCCCACCAATGGGCCTTTTTTAGAAAATCAGGCCCAAGTTCAATGTGTCACAGGGGGTTTACACACCCTGTCCCCTCCCTCCTTCATTCTGTGTCTTTCCTGCCCCTCCCCATCTACAACACCCCCTCCTGCAACTCTCTGAAAATGCCCTACCTGAGCTCGTTCCATCACAGCCATTTCCCTTCCCTGTCTCCTGGAAGATGGGATGATCTGGAGCAAAACGTGGACGTCGTGATTCCTCAGCCTGTCAGGGCGAGAGGGGCGATGGGGGAGGTTTCAGAAGGGGCTGGAGTCCATGTCACACCCCTTTTCCCTGGAGACAGACGCTCTGGATTCTGCCACGCTGGGAAAACCCTCAGTCCCTTTATTACAACACCGACCCGGCCCCTCCCACCAGCACGAACCCCCTGAGACTCTTTTAGACGCTAGAAAAGAGCAGAATCAAAGGAGCCACTTTGGGGGATTCCCCCTGCCATTGGCCTCCACAGCAGCATGTCTCACCAGCAGCAGGATGACTCAGCCAGGGCAGGAACTGGCTTTTCCTCTGTCAGCTCCTCCCCTTGTTCCCAGGAGAGTCACTCTGCCCAGGGGTGATGCAGGGAATGGATCTGGGCAGGGCTGGGAGCTGGGAACCTCCCTCCCAACTTCTTGCTCCTGCTGCCCCTTTCAGTCTCACCATTCCCCTTCCTGTCTCCTTCCCTCTCCCCTCTGCCTGGGAGAACTGGTGACTCCCGTTCCCATGGGCGTTTGCTCTCCAGGGTGAGCCTGGCTGTGTCACTGAGAACAGCAGCTCAGGGACCCGCAGACTCATGGGGAGCCCCTCCCCCTCCCCCTACAAACTCACCTGCAAGTCCCTGAAAGGGGCCCTTTGTGCGGAGTCACTTTCCTACCCGGCCCCAGCACTTTCCCCCCAGGGTCTCTCCCCATCCCCTGCAGGCTCCGGCTCAGGAGTTGGTGTGGGAAAAGCCCAGGGTTGCCCTAGGGGGCTAGTTGCAGCCACCAGGGGAAGTCCCCATCTTGGCTGGGCACAGAGAGGGCTTTAATGAGGTCTCTCCCCAGCACAGACCCCCTGGGGGAGCAGCAGCTGCTCAGTCTGGGCTCCAGGATCACAAGGGAGGAGGCAGCAGATTCTGACCCAGGACGCTCAGCTAACTCCCGGGCGCTAATATCATGAGCAGAGAGAGAGAGACAGACACCAGCTTCCTCTGCCTTAACAGTAACCAGAGGCGCCCCCCATGACTGGGCCTCGCTGAGCTGCCCCTGCAGCCCCCAGGCACAACTCAGCAGCTGCAGATTTCATTTGCCCACCAGGACTCACACCAGAACAGAACCAGAGAACCACTTTGAACTGGCATTTATTAATGGAACTGGAACCAGACTTAAACCAGCATTTTTCCTATTACTCAGTGAATCTGAATCGACCTCAGGGTGAAACGGCTACCAGTTAGAATAAAGTTTCAGCAATATTTCAGCTCAATATTTGGCAAAATAAAATAAAACCTACTCTGATCTCACTTGTTACAAAAACAAGACAACAAAACAACACCCAGACATGTGATTGCTACCGGAATGGCCTGTCCCAGTAGAAGAAGAAGAGAAGGGGGCAGCCCACAGGAGCAGGGAGGGAGGTGGGAGAGAAGAAGTGGGGGGCTCCCTGGTCCCAGAAATTAAATTAACTCTTCAAGCCCAAGGAAAAAGGCTACTCAATTCTTCTTCCCCTTAGACAGGCCTCCTCTCACCCATCCCCACCCCTTGGGGCAGTTCTTCCCTCCCAATGTCCCACCTGAGGCAGGCCCCATGCCCCAAATTCAGTTCCCCACTGAAGCAAGCAACAAGGCTCACTCCCACCTCCACTTCTGGGGCACAGAACCATTTCGGGGTGTCTTGATCCAGAACCGAACACACCGCCTGCCACCGAATGAAACCAAATCCCAATTCCACTCCTTGCGGCTCGCAGTGACTCTGGTTGGACACCAAATCCTGCTCTGAAATCAGACCAGCCCCTGTTCAGTCCTGTCAACCCAGGATCCAGACCCCACCAAATAAGGAGATTGTCTTTAAACACAAACATGAAATTGGGAGCAGGGTGTGTGTGAGGGCGAGGGGTTCTGGGTGGACATTTGCCTTGTAAATTCTTGGCCCTGTGGGGGAAGTCTCCTGCCCACCCCCTATCCCTAGGGCGACCACCTTTTCAAAGGCAAAAGGAGGACACATGCAGGAGCCTCAATCCCCTCTGTAACCTCGCCCCTCCTCTCCCTGGAGGCCGGACCCCCTGCTTCTCCTCTTCCCCCTGAGACCCTACCTCCTGGCCAAGCCAGAAGCTAGAGCCAGGCCATGGAATGATAAGAGACGCTCAGGGAGCCCGAGCCAGTATGGGGATCCGTGACCCTCCACCTGCCCTGTACAGGGGGCTGGGGTGCAAGAGAACATCCCCCAGAGTGTATCCCACCCCAGGATCCACTGCTCAGGGTAGGTGGAGGCTCTGGGGCTCCTCAAAGCAGCCTGGGGTCCCCAGGTGAGTCTTATTATAGCCTGACTCTGGCTTCTGGCCTGGCCAGGAGGCGGGGCCTCAGGGAAAGAGGAGGAGTAAGGGGCGGGGCCTCATAACACCTCAATCCCCCCCACAGGGAACAGGCTGGCGCTGGTCCTGAGCCTTAGGCAGGGACGGAGCCCTGGCCCAGGGAATCCGGGACAAATGGTGTCCGGGAGTCATTCAGCCCTGGATCGGGACTTGAACTCTGCACTTCAGGACTGTCCTGCCCAATTCAGTGCTGGTTTGACTATTTCTAGGGAAACAAATCCCCACTGGCCGCTGGGCAGGGCAGCCCCCTCACCCTTCCTTACCCCATGGGGTGGGGGAGCTACCCTGTATCTCTCCCCACCCCTCCACCTTCTCCCTGCCCCTGGGCTCTCCCCTCCCCAGCCAGTCTCCTCTTGCTCTCACAGCCTCCCTCATCTCCCCACATCCCCCCCTTTCCCTCCCAGAGCCCCCCTCACATCTTCGCTCTACTCCAGCCTCGTTCCCCTCAGCCCCATAATTCACCCCCCCCACACACCACCACCCCCCGGTCTGGATTCCCCTGCAACACTCCAGCCTCCCTTCAGTGCAACCACTGCCCCGACCCCAATCGCATCCTGCCCCTGCATCCCCTTCCTGCCCCCGGCCTCACATCTCCGGTACCCCCGGCAATTGTTCCTTGGCCACACCCCCCCCCGCCCCTCTCCAGCCCCCGTCCCCCAGGTGTGGCTGTCCCAGCCCCCAGCAAGGCCCGGGCTGGCTCCCCCCGCCCCGCACACACCGGGGGCTGGCGGCAGCTTTCCCGGGCCGGGGCAGGGAATCGCAGCCAGCTCCGCGGGGAGCAGCCCGGGGCCAAACCCGCCCCCTGCAGCCCGGGGGTGACGGGGGGGGGCGGGTCTCTCTTACCTTCCCTCCGAGCGGGGCCCCCCGGGGCAGGGGTCCCTGGCCGGGCTGGGGGCTCTGCCCTGGGAGAGGCTCCCGGGGAGCAGCGGGCAGGGCCCGGCTGGAGAGTTCCCCTCTCCGGGCTCCCAGCACCAGCCGCCGGGGCGCGGGGATCTCGCCAGGAGCCAGAGTCCCCGCAGCGGCTGCGAGTCACTTCCTGCTGCCGGGCCTGAGCCCCGCGATCCTCCCCCCAGAGCCGCCCCCCAGCTCCTCCTGGGTCCTAGCGATCAACCCACAGCGCCGCTTCTGGGTCCTAGCGATCATAGAATATCAGGGTTGGAAGGGACCTCAGGAGGTCATCTCGTCCAACCCCTTGCTCAGAGCAGGACCAATCCCCAACTAAATCATCCCAGCCAGGGCTTTGTCAAGCCTGACCTTAAAAACATCTGAGGAAGGAGATTCCACCACCTCCCTAGGCAACGCATTCCAGTGCTTCATCACCCTCCTAGTGAAAAAGTTTTTCCTAATATCCAACCTAAACCTCCCCCACTGCAACTTGAGACCATTACTCCTTGTTCTGTCATCTGCTACCACTCAGAACAGTCTAGGTCCATCCTCCTTGGAACCCCCTTTCAGGTAGTTGAAAGCAGCTATCAAATCCCCCCTCATTCTTCTCTTCTGCAGACTAAACAATCCCAGTTCCCTCAGCCTCTCCTCATAAGTCATTTGTTCCAGTCCCCTAATCATTTTTGTTGCCCTCCGCTGGAAGCTTTCCAATTTTTCCACATCCTGCTTGTAGTGTGGGGCCCAAAACTTGACACAGTACTCCAGATGAGGCCTCACCAATGTCGAATAGAGGGGAACAATCACGTCCCTCGATCTGCTGTCAATGTCCCTACTTATACATCCCAAAATGCCATTGGCTTTCTTGGCTACAAGGGCACACTGTTGACTCACATCCAGCTTCTCGTCCACGGTAACCCCTAGGTCCTTTTCTGCAGAACTGCTGCCAAGCCATTTGGTCCCTAGTCTGTAGTGGTGCATGGGATTCTTCTGTCCTAAGTGTAGGACTCTGCACTTGTCCTTGTTGAACCTCATCAGATTTCTTTTGGCCCAATCCTCCAATTTGTCTAGGTCCCTCTGTATCCTATCCCTACCCTCCAGCGTATCTACCTCTCCTCCCAGTTTAGTGTCATCTGCAAACTTGCTGAGGGTGCAATCCACACCATCCTCCAGATCATTTATGAAGATATTGAACAAAACCGGCCCCAGGACCGACCCTTGGGGCACTCCACTTGATACCGGCTGCCAACTAGACATTGATTACTAGCCGTTGAGCCCAACAATCTAGCCAGCTTTCTATCCACCTTATAGTCCATTCATCCAGCCCATACTTCCTTAACTTGCTGGCAAGAATACTGTGGGAGACCATGTCAAAAGCTTTGCTAAAGTCAAGGAACAACATGGCCACTGCTTTCCCTTCATCCACAGAGCCAGTTATCTCGTGATAGAAGGCAATTAGATTAGTCAGGCATGACTTGCCTTTGGTGAATCCATGCGGACTGTTCCTGATCACTTTCCTCCCCTCTAAGTGCTTCAGAATTGATTCCTTGGGGACCTGCTCCATGATTTTTCCAGGGACTGAGGTGAGGCTGACTGGCCTGTAGTTCCCAGGATCCTCCTTCTTCCCTTTTTTAAAGATGGGCACTACATTAGCCTTTTTCCAGTCATCCGGGACTTCCCCGGATCGCCATGAGTTTTCAAAGATAATGGCCAATGGCTCTGCAATCACATCCGTCAACTCCTTTAGCTCTCGGATGCAACGCATCTGGCCCCATGGACTTGTGCATGTCCAGCTTTTTTAAATAGTCCCGAACCACTTCTTTCTCCACAGAGGGCTGGTCACCTCTTCTCCATGCTGTGCTGCCCAGTGCAGTAGTCTGGGAGCTGACCTTGTTCGTGAAGACAGAGGCAAAAAAAGCTTTGAGTACATTAGCTTTTTCCACATCCTCGGTCACTAGGTTGCCTCCCTCATTCAGTAAGGGGCCCACACTTTCCTTGACTTAGATCAACCCATCTAAGGCAGCCCCTGTGCCCCATAACCTGCCTCCTAAGGCCCCACCTCCCCTGGGCAGCTTCTCTCAGCCTTATGTAGCCATTGTGCATAGAAGCCACAGGAGCAATGGGGGGACAGAAAGGAGACATGCAGATCCCGGGGAGGAGGGAGAAGGGGGGTTTCTATGGAGACTCTGGGTTGTTCCAGAGAATCCAGGGGTGTCGGGGAGCAGGGGACACTTTGTGTGTGATTCGCTCTGGTAACAGATTGGAACAGGGAGCAGTTGGTCAGAGCTGGCCTCTTGTCTCCACACCAGGCTCACTGGCTACCAGCCCTGGGCTGGAGTTACCAGCTCTGCTCTGCTGGCTCAGGTCATGGAGCTGTCAGAGCTTTGCCACTGGGTTCTGCTGGTTACCTGTAGGACCAGATGAACCTGCCCTGAGCTCTATTTAAACCCCCTCATGTCTGCCCCTCTCCCAGGGATCCCCTCTGCCCATCTCCCAGCTGGCTCCCCCCTGTGGGCACTGACTGCAGCTCCCCGTCGGGCACCTGGATGTCTGTAGGGAAGCTCCTGTTGCTCTGGGTCAGGGACTGGTGCTCTGCCCACTCAGGTTTGTCACCTGTTTCCCCCTCATTGTTTCCCAATTGTCACCAAAATCATCCGCCTTCTTCTGATGGCCACCTAGAAAATCCCCTGAAATGTTGGAATTGATCAGATGCAGCCATCGAAACAGACCAGTGCCACTGAGTTGAGTGCAGGATCTCACTTTGCTAGGCCAAAAAGAAATCAAGAGATTAGACAGCACTCTTAGGCTATGGCTACTGATGCAGCTGCACCACTGTAAGCTCTCTAGGGCAGGCGTTCTCAGAACAAGAATTTGGTGGCCTCAGCACATGGCCACTAACTCCCGCTGGTGGCCACTCTGATAATTTTTCCTAAAACACTTAATTCACTTTATGAAAAACAAATAAATATACATGTCCAAATCATTGTAGTTTATTTTGTAGGATTTTTTTTTTTTAGAGAATAATAAAAATAATATACAGTTGAGTTGCCTCTATTCTTTACTGGACCTACAGAGAATAGAAACACAGTCTTTTAAAAGACTTGTTAGCTGGTAAGTCTGCTGCTGTGATAAGTGATGTTTGCATGTTTGTTACCATCGCGTTTCACAGCAGCAGACTTGCTAGCGAGCTGGGAGGCAGCGAAACGTGGTTAACAAACATGTGAGTATCACTTTTCACAGCAGACTTACTCAGACTCAGCAAGCTGGGGGACAAATTAAGCCCAGGATGGGAAGTGAGTAGGGTGTCAGCGGGGACCAACAGTGGTGGAGGTGATGGTGAGCCCAGGACCCAAAGCCCTGCAGCTGAGGTCTGGAGCCTGTTGCTGCATGGCCAGAACCCAGGGCCGGAGGAGACAGTGGGGGGCAGGAGAGATGGGGAGAGGGGGTTGAGCCCAGGGCCGGAGCTGGACCCTGAAGCTCCATAGCTGGAACCTGCCACTCACCACTGCAGGGCTGAAGCCAGAAACCCAAGCCCCACGGCCCCCAACAAGATGGGGAACTCACAACTGGCTTCCTGCTCCTCCAGCATTTGTGGCTCCAGAAGGCTTTGCCTCCTCCCCCCACAAATTACCACCCAGGAGGCTGTGTCCCCAAGAAAAGCCCCTGGTCACCGCATGTGGCCATGGTGGCCACATTTGAGAAATGCTGCTCTTGTGTATCTGCTCTAAGCCAGCAGGAGAGCTAATTAACCCACCCCCAATGAGGTTCAACAAGCATAAGTACAGAGTCCTGCACTTAGGACGGAAGAATCCCATGCACCGCTACAGACTAGGGACCAAATGGCTCGGCAGCAGTTCTGCAGAAAAGGACCTAGGGGTTACAGTGGACGAGAAGCTGGATATGAGTCAACAGTGTGCCCTTGTTGCCAAGAAGGCTAACGACATTCTGGGCTGTGTAAGTAGGGGCATTGACAGCAGATCGAGGGACGTGATTGTTCCCCTCTATTCGACATTGGTGAGGCCTCATCTGGAGTACTGTGTTCAGTTTTGGGCCCCACACTACAAGAAGGATGTGGAAACATTGGAAAGCTTCCAGCGGAGGGCAACAAAAATGATCAGGGGTCTGGAGCACATGACTTATGAGGAAAGGCTGAAGGAACTGGGATTGTTTAGTCTGCAGAAGAGAAGAGTGAGGGGGGATTTGATAGCTGCTTTCAACTACCTGAAAGGGGATTCCAAAGAGGATGGATCTAGACTGTTCTGAGTGGTAGCAGATGACAGAACAAGGAGTAATGGTCTCAAGTTGCAGTGGGGGAGGTTTAGGTTGGATATTAGGAAAAACTTTTTCACTAGGAGGGTGGTGAAGCACTGGAATGCATTACCTAGGGAGGTGGTGGAATCTCCTTCCTTAGATGTTTTTAGGGTCAGGCTTGACAAAGCCCCAGCTGGGATGATTTAGTTGGGGATTGGTCCTGCTCTGAGCAGGGGGTTGGTCTAGATGACCTCCTGAGGTACCTTCTAACTCTGATATTCTATGATTCTATGATTGTACAGGGAGCACTAGGTGATCAACTCAGGCTTTGTGAATCCTACTGTTGTTCCAGTGATTTTCTAGACTTCTCAAATTTGGCCTTTGCATCATCAAAGTCCATTTGCTGGGCCAGGCCTTAGTGGCTGCCATCAGCTGGCTCTTTGCTCTATAAACACGTGCAGACCTGGTTGAAGCAGATGCATCTACTCACGGGTCCCCTATTTCCCCTTATAATTTTCCAATTTTCACCCACATCATCCACCATCTCCATAGGGCTGCCTAAGACATTCCCTGAAATTTTTGAATTGATTAGATGCAGCAACCTGCACCGCTTCCTCTGGTGGGTTAACAGAAGGGTTAAAGCAGCCTTGGAGAGGCTGTGCAGAACCCAGCCAGGAAAAGGCTTATTGAGAGAGCCAATCAAGGGGAGGCTTGTTGCAGCAGCCAATCAGAGCCAGCGAGAGCCATATATAAAGGGCTGCTCAGGTGCACAGAAGATAGTCTCTTTCTCTGGAGGCTGAGGAAGAAGGATTAGATATCCAAGGGTATGCCTTCAGTGGCAAGTTTCTGTGCAACAAGTTATGCTACTTTTATTAAAGCATTGGAATTAAACTGCCGTTGCATGTCCCCACTGTGCTTCTTGTGAGGTTGGAGTGTACCTACATTAGTAGCTCTTGCAAGGGCAAAGAGAATAGTGCATTGGAGGGTGGATATGAGGGGTTTTGCTTAACCCACCCCGGGCTCTATCTGGACCACAGATAACCAGAGGAACCCAGTGGTAAAGCTCTGACAGTTCCATGACCCAAGCAAGGGGAGCAGAGCTGGGAGCTCAGGCCCAGGGCTGGTAGCCTATGAGTGGGGTGTGGAGACAAGAGACCAGCTGTGACCAACTGCTCCCTGTGCCAGTCTATTACCAGAGCAAATCATACACAGAGTATTCCAGGCTCCCCGTCACCCCTGGATCCTTTGGAACAACCCTGAATCTCCCTAGAAACCCCCTTTCTCCCCCCTCCCCAGGATCTGCACGTCTCTTTTCTGTCCCCCCATTGATCCTGTGGTTTCTGTGCAGGACGTCTACAGAGCTCTGGGAGAAGCTGCCTGTGCTCAGGAGAGGTGGGGTGCCCAGGAGGCACCCCACATCACCTCTGTCCTCCTGATATTGGGGACTCTCTGGAACAATTCCCAGTCTCCATAGAAGGCCCCCTTGTCCCCCACTCCCCAGGATGAGGGAAGTCTCCTTTCTGTCCTCCCATTGATCCTGTGGCTTTTCTGCACGATGCCCCCAACTGTGCCCAGGGTAAGTGGGGCCCCCAGGGGGCAGGGTCTGCGGCATGGCGGCTGCATGCGATGGGATTATCGCTAGGACCCAGGAGCAGCTGGGATGCGTCTGGGAGCGATCGCGGGGCTCAGGCCCGGCCGCAGGAAGTGACTCGCAGCCGCTGCGGGGACTCTGGCTCCCGGCGAGATCCCCGAGCCCCGGCGGCTGGTGCTGGGAGCCCGGAGCCCGGGCTGCAGCCGGGAGGGGGGAACCTCCAGCCGGGCCCTGCCCGCTGCTCCCCGGGAGCCTCTCCCAGGGCAGAGCCCCCAGCCCGGCCAGGGCCCCTTCCCGGCCCGGCCCCTGCCCCGGGGGGCCCCGCTCGGAGGGAAGGTAAGAGAGACCCGCCCCCCCCCCGGCACCCCCGGGCTGCAGGGGAAGGAGGCTAAAGGGGGGGGGGCAGGCGGGGGTAACAGGGATGTGTGAGGGGCCGGGAGGATGGGGATAGGGATGCAGGGGGCAGGATGGGATTGGGGAGGGGTGGCTGAAGGGAGGACAGGGCGCTGCAGGGGAGTTAGGGGGCAAGGGGAGAATTATGGGGCGGAGGGGAACGAGGCTGGAATAAAGGGAAGATGTGGGGGGGGGCACTACGAGGGAGGAGACGGTGAGAGCAAGAGCAGACTGGCTGGGGAAGGGAGAGCCAGGGATACCAGGCAGCTCCCCCGCGCCATGGGGTGTGGGGGGCGAGGGGGATTCCCCTCCCAGCTGCTAGTGGGGATTTTTTTTCTCCTAGAAATGGTCAAAAAAGCATGGGGGTGCGTTGGCTGGCGAACAACCCCTCAGAGCACAGAAGCTACAAGGCAAATCTGCACAGCCATCCCCCTTCCTTCTGTGCAACCCCCCCCCCCCGCGCTTATTATTAGATTAAAAATAAAAAAAAAGACCGACTCCTGATTTTGGGGTCTGTTTCCTGAGTGTTTGGGGCTGCCCAGGGCCCTGGTCTGATTTCCAGGCCGGATTCAGATCTCGGCCACACCGGTGTGAGACCGGAGTCACTGCTGACGCTGGCAGAGGGCGAGTGCGGATGGGCCAGTGGGATCAGCCTCTGCCTGCCTGGTCCTGGGGGCTGCAGGGGCAGGACAGGGAGGTTCAGTTGTTAGTTGCTGCCACCAAAGGGCTCCGGCTATTGCTAAGGGAGAGGAGGAGGCCGGGGTGTGTGTGTCTCTCCCTGCTCATGTAATTACAGTCCTGGAGTTGAGCTCCCTGGGTCAGAAGCTGCTGCCGCCTCCATTTTGAGCTGGGAGCCCAGACTGAGCAGCAGAGTCAGGGCCTGGGAGAGACCTTCATTAAAGCCCCTCTGCGCCCAGTCCAGGTGGGCACTTTCAGCGGTAGCTGGAACCAGCTCCTGGGGCAGCCCCAGGCTCTGCTGACACCAGCCTCTGAGCCAGAGCTGGCAGGTGAGGAGAGAGACCTGGGGGTAAGGGCTGGGCCTGGGCAGGAATGTGAGTCTGCACAAAGGGCCCCTTTCAGGAACCTGCTGGTGAGTTTTGTACTGGATAGGAGTGGGGTATGTGGGGGCTGCGGGGGGAGCTCCCCATGTGTCTGCGGGTCCCTCAGTGACACAGCGAGGTTCAAACCCCAGTTAGTTGTCCCAGGAGCAGATGTGTCTACCGGAGAGCAAACACCCATGTAAATGGGGGCAGTCACCAGTTCTCCCAGGCAGTGGGGAGGGGAAGAGGGAAGGGGACAGAAAGGGAGAGTGGAGGGACTGAAAGGGGCAGCAGGAGCAGGAACTGGGGAGGGAGGTTCCCAGCTCCCAAACCTGCACAGATCCATTCCCTGCTTCACCCCTGGGCAGAGTGATACTCCTGGGAACATGGTGAGGAGCAGAGAGAGGAAAAGCCAGTTAATTTCTCTTGAATCACTGGGCTGGTCGGAGAGTGGGGGGACATGCTGCCTTTGGGAACAGTGTCACAGGGAATCCCCCTAAGAGGCGCCTTTGATTCTGCTCTTTTTCCAGCATTGCGCTCAGACACTGTTACAGGGAGAGTTTAAAAGTGCCCCAGTGAGTTTAGTTCTGCTGAGAGGGGCCTGGCCTGGGTGGTAATAAACTAACTAGGTTTCTTCCCAGCATGGCAGTCTGTCTGCAGGGAGAGAGCCTGGGGGTAATCGGGGTGTGACATGGACTCAAGCCCCTTCTGACCTCCCCTCCCTAATTGCTCATCTCACCCTGGCAGGCTGAGGAATCACGTCCAAGTTTCTCTCCAGATGGTCCCATCTTCCAGGGGACAGGGACGGGAAATGGCTGTGATGGAGCCAGCTCAGGTAGGGGATTTTCAGGTAGCTTCAGGGGGGTTGTTGTAGAGGGAGAGGGGCAGAAAAGACACAGGGAGGGGACAGGGTGTGATAAACCTGCTGGAACGTGATCAACCTGGGCCTGATTTTCTGAACAGGCCCATTGATGGGTGCGGGGGAGGGGAAACAATCCCCCATTTCTGAACCAGGAAACAGCCCCCTGGGCAGGGCTGGGAAAACTGACCAGAATCCCAGTGCTGGAGCCTGACCCCACTGGCCAGAGGCTGCTGTGAAGTACGAAGGGAAGCTGTCGGGATTCCTGTCCCTGTCCCCGGCTCAGAGCTCTGCTTCCCGTATCAGCCTGTGCCTGGCAGGCGGGTGGGAAATGAGAAGACCCTGCCCTGCTCCGTGTGCTGGGGGCGACAAGGAGCTCTCACCTTCTCCCACCCCCTGAAGCCTCCTGGCTGCTCTGAGCAGGGTGGGGGTGGAATTCTGCTTCTCTAGGCCTCCTCCCTGATGAATAGGGGAATCGTGGCTGGGGCAGAAGGTGCTGAGTGGGGGATTCTTGTTCCAGATGCCGGTGACCTTCGAGGAGGTGGCTGTGTATTTCACCCAGGGGCAGGGAGCTCTGCTGGACCCCGCTCAGAGAGCCCTCTACAGGGATGTCATGGAAGAGAATTACGAGACGGTGACCTCCCTGGGTAAGGGATTCCTGTGCCTTTGCTTATTAGAAGCTGTGGGGTCTGCATAGCTTACTGCCCGGATGGCTTAGGAAGGAATGGCTTGCAAAGTGAAGTGGTTCTAAACCAGAGGCCCAGGGTGCCCTGGGGAACCATGAGCAGGTTTCAGGGGGGCCGCCAAGCAGGGGCAGCATTAGATTTGCTGGTGCCCAGGGGAGAAAGTGGAAGCCCTACTGCATGGGACAGAAGCCCAGGGCTGAAGCTAAAGCCTGGGCAACTTAGCTTTGCGGGGCCCCATGTTCCGTGGGACCCCACGTAATTGCCCTGTTCCCTATCCCCTAATGCAGGCCCTGGCTTTTATATGCAGAAAAACAGTTGGTTTGGCAGAGGTGGGCTGAGGAGTTTTTATAGCATGTTGGGGTGCAGAGGGGGGAGGCTCAGAGAGAAAAAGGCTGAGAACCCCTGGCATCATGGGCACTGTGTAATGTAGGCAAGGGAAGGCTGTGCCTACCTAAATAGCCATGGGTGGCCTTGCCCACTCTCTGCATCCTCCTACCTGCAGTGCAGCTACTAGGCCCCACCCAGGCAGGCTACTCTCTAGGGAGCCTGCTTCGGCCGCCCAGCACTGGGGTGCCACCCCAGCACTCCTGCACGCCAGGCCACCGTTCCGCCTGCCGTGTCCTCTGGGATGGGTGGAAGGGCCACGCACCGCCCGCTGCCCACCTGTTGCTCAGAGGGATAGGGAGTGAGGTGGCTTGTCCTGGTGCTGCTGGCCAGCGCCCGGCACTGTGGCTGGCCTGCTGCTTGAGGGAGCCAGCGGACCAGCCTGGTTCTGGGGCCGGCCTGACTCTTGGGTGGGCCAGTGGCTCGGCGCTGGGGATGGGGCTGTGGCCAATGGGAGCTGCGGGGGCGGTGCTTGCAGAGAGGGGCAGGGTGCCGAGCAACGTTCTGCCCGCCCCCTCCCAGGGGCCATAGGGCACGTTGGCCCCTTCCAGGAGCGGTGTGGGGCTGGGGTAGGCAGGGAGCCTGCCTTAGCAGTAAGTGCTGCCCAGCGGCAGGCCGCATCCCAAACTCCAGCACTGAGTCCGTTCCCTGAGCCAGCACCCCAAACCCCTTCCTGCACCCCAAAGCCCAGCCTTGATCCCCCTCCCAGAGCCAGCATCCCAAACCAGCTCTCAGCCCCCTCCTGGAGCCTGTACCCGAAGACCCTCCTGCACCTCAGCCCCAGCCATGACCCCCTTCCCAGAGCCAGCACCCCCACCCCCTCTTACACTCCAACACTCTGCCCCAGCCCTGACCCCCCTCCCAGAGCCAGTACCCTGTACCCCCTCCTGCACCCCAACACTGCCCCAACCCAGAGCCCCCTCCTGCACTCCAACCCCAGACTCAGCCCAGAGCCCCTTCCCACACTGCAAACCCCTCGTCTCCAGCCCAGAGCCCACACCCCCTCCCAAACCCCAACTCCTACCTCAGCCTGGTGAAAGTGAGCGAGGGTGGGGGAGAGCGAGTGACGAGGCAGGGGGAATGGAGTGAGTGGGACAGGGCTTTGGGGAAAGGGCAGGGCCTTGGGGAAAGGGCAGGGCAGATCCTGGGTTGCCCTTAAATTCAAAAAGTGATCTTGGGAGTAACAAGGTTGGAGATCCCTGCCCTAGTGCTTACTACTTATGAGTCAAAGGCCAGAACTAGACCAGATAGCAAAGATCTGGCCTTAATGGTTTCCAATCCTCTCCCCAAACAAATGTGAAAGCTTAATGGAAATCACTTGTCTGGAATCCAAGTGCTTTCCATTAGGAGAGGCATCTCTCCAGGCCACTGCAACCCTGGAGCTGGGACTGGGACATGACAGGATAGAAAATACAAGAGTGATACTGCAAATCAAACTTTAAAGCTGCAATACATGTTCCAAGCAAAGTGAAGTCCAAACGTTTTAAGCAGCTGGTGGAAGTAGCATTAATTAACCTATGTACCAGTTAAGTAATTCTGCAACGGCATCCAGTGCAAAAGCTAGGCAGAACGAATACATTGTCACTTTTGTGATTACAAAAAACGTTATTAAATGTGACTTTTAATGACCGTTTTGCAGAGGAGAAGAGATGATTTATTTGGATTCTTTTCAAAAAACTAACTCCAGGAAGCAGTAACAGTGTTTTTTCTCCAACAGAAGTCTCTCCCCACCCCTACAGTCCAGCTAGGGCTGGGAGAGACTGAGAATCAGACTCTCTCCCTGCCGCCGCAGCCCAGCTGGAGCTGCAGAGAGGCGGCCACTGGGGAAAGTCGCGTCTCTGCCCGGCTGCCGCATGCAGCCCAGCTGGGGGTGGGAGTCCTGAGACACTCCAAACTTAGTTTCTACACTCCCACCCACTCCCTATTTCCCCCCACCTACCCCCTATTTCCCTCACCTTCCACATCCTCTCTCCAGGGTCCAGGAGGCACCTAATTAACGGAGTCACACCTGCAGGGCTCCACTAATTAGGTGTGTGGCCCTTCATTACCTCATGCATGGCTCTGCAGGCATGCACCTTAGAGGGAAATATGGTTGCCGGGCAGCGTGGCCCCAGACCCCCCGGAGTGCCAGGTTGCCAGGCAGCGCAGCCCCATCCTTCCCAGCCCCGGAGCGCCGGGACGGGAGGCTGGGCAGCAACGGAAGAGCTGGCCGCCTGCAGAGCAGGAAGCAGGAGGGGGACTGGGGGTGGAATGTGGGCGGGGCCACACCTGGCTGTTTGGGGAGGCTCAGCCTCCCCCTGCCTCTGATATCCGCTGCCCATGCCTGAGACCTCCTAGTGAGAATATAACACCCCCCCCCACACACACACACCAGATCTCTGCTGCTCCCAAAGGGTCTGAGTTACCACAGTCCCATGTAGGATCAGGTAAAACTCAGGGAATGTTCCTTGTGACAAATACATTACCAATGCTCCATGCTCCCTGACCTTGCCTGATTTCACCCCCTGCACAGGATTCTCCAGTCCCAAACCGGACCTGATCGCCCGGCTGGAACGAGGGGAAGAGCCGTGGGTCCCGGATCTCCAGGCCACTAAGGAAGGAGAGAGCCTGAGAGGGGCCCGCACAGGTGAGGAGTCAGGGAAACTGAGACAGAAACATCTGGTGAGAGAAGGAAAAAGCTGGGACTCCCGAAATGTGCCGTGAGCAAAAGCCCCCAGTTCTGCCCCATCTCACCCAGGTCAGGGCTGCAGTCAGCCCATGTCATATTATGAAGGTAAATATCAGTCACTGCTTCCCACCCATCCTGTTAGCTGTTGGGAATTTCCTCCCTGACTTTACTTCCCTGGGTGTGTTTGGGTGGGATATGGAGGCAGAATCCAATGTCTCCAGCTCCCCAACAGTCACTGTGTTGTGTTTTCCCTCTTTGCTATTCCCCTTTCTGTCCTTTCTCCAGGCACAGGCAGTGACTCCTGTCTGGATTCTCTCTCTCCCAGCAGGTGATAGGACAGTGAGTGAGAACAAGGAGGAGAATCAGCAGCAGGAAGGTCCTCGGAAAGTGGAACCGCAGTGGATATTTTTGAGAAGAGCTGAGAAGAATTTTTCCCAGTGCTTGGAACAAGGAGAAGCCTGGGGAGATCAACACAGATCAGAGATGCAGCTGGGAAATTATCTTAGGAACAAACTAGGTGAATCTACTGAACGTGGCGGAGGATGCAAGGATCCTAAGGAAACCACAATCCAGCAGACAAGTTACAGTGAAGAGAAACCCTACAAATGCCTTGAGTGTGGGAAAAGATTCCGTTTCAGTGCAAACCTTATTAGCCATGGGAGAACCCACACAGGAGAGAAGCCCTATAAATGCGTAGACTGTGGGAAAAGCTTCAGTGAGAAGCCATGTCTTATTATACACCAGAGACTGCACACAGGAGAGAGACCCTATAAATGCTTTGAGTGTGGGAAAAGTTTCCGTTTGAAATCAACCCTTTATACACATCAGAAAACCCACACAGGAGAGAAACCCCATAAATGCCTGGACTGTGGGAAAACTTTCAGTTTCAAATCTACTCTTAATACACATCAGAAAACCCACACAGGAGAGAAACCCTATAAATGCCTGGACTGTGGGAAAACTTTCAGTCGGCGCTCACACCTTACTCTACATGGGCGAATCCACACGGGAGAGAGACCCTATAAATGCCTCGAGTGTGGGAAAAGTTTCAGTGTGAAATCAACCCTTAATACACATCAAAAAACCCACACAGGAGAGAAACCCCATAAATGCCTGGACTGTGGGAAAACTTTCAGTCGGCGCTCACACCTTACTCTACATGGGCGAATCCACACGGGAGAGAGACCCTATAAATGCCTCGAGTGTGGGAAAAGTTTCAGTTTGAAATCAACCCTTAATACACATCAGAAAACCCACACAGGAGAGAGACCCCATAAATGTTTGGACTGCGGGAAAAGCTTCAGTCAGCACTCACATCTTACTAATCATAGGAAAATCCATATGGCAGAGAGACCATATAAATGCCTTAAGTGTGGGAAAAGTTTCATTCAGCACTCAAACTTTATTAGACATCCGTGTCTGAAGACAAGAGAGAGACGCCATAAATGCCTTCAGTGCGAGAAAGTTTTTATTACTGCATCACACCTTGTTAGACATGAGAGAACCCATACGGGAGAGAAACTGCATAAATGCTTGGACTGTGGGAAAACTTTCGGTCAGACCTCGTATTTTATTAAACATAGGAGAATCCATACAGGAAACAGACCTTATAAATGCCTTGAGTGTGGGAAAAGTTTTATGGAAAGTTCATCCCTTATGAAACATGGGCGAATTCACACTGGAGAAAGACCGTACAAATGCCTCGAGTGTGGGAAAAGTTTTATGGAAAGTTCATACCTTACTAAACATGGGAAAATCCACACTGGAGAAAGGCCCTATAAATGCCTCAACTGTGGGAAAGATTTTATCACAAACTCAGCGCTTACTAACCATAGGAGAATTCACACGGGAGAAAGGCCCTATAAATGCCTCGAATGTGGGAAAAGTTTTATGGAAAGTTCATCCCTTACTAAACATGGGAGAGTCCACACAGGAGAAAGACCCTATAAATGCGTTGAGTGTGGGAAAAGTTTCAGTTTGAAATCAACCCTTAATACACATCAGAAAACCCACACGGGGGAGAAACCCCATAAATGCCTGGACTGTGGGAAAACTTTCACTCGGCGCTCACACCTTACTCTACATGGGAGAATCCACACGAGGGAGAGACCTTATAAGTGCCTTGACTGTGGGAAAAGCTTCAGTAAGAGCTCAGAGCTCACCAAACATCAGAAATCTGCAAGGGAGAGAGACCCTAGAAATAGCTTGTCTGCAGGAAAAGATTCAATTTTACTTCACACTTCAGTGACCCGCACAGCAGAGACACCTTGAACGTCGGGGAAAGTTCATTTGGTGGTCCTGGAGTATCAGCATCAGCAAATCCGCACAGCGAAGAAACCTCTGAGATGTTCTCAGTGTGGAAAATGCTCCAAGTGGTGCTAACACCATGTTGGACATCAGAGACTCCTCCACACAGCAGGGAAATTCTCTCAGGGCCCTGACAAGGGCTGGCCATGGTGACAAACGCATTTCCTCGTTCCCACACACATCAAGGGCATTTGGCTCCCAAGGATCCACCTGCCCATTGCTGGGGTGAGGATCCAGCAGCAGCCGGTCAGTGAACATCTGGCTCTGCCTGGTCTAAGCAAACCCCAGGCAGAGGAGAAGCCCCCATCAGCCCCTCCTCCCTGCTACAGCCCTGTCTACTGAGCTGATGGGCCACAGGCGGGGGAAGGGAGAGAGAGAGAGAGAGAAACTCCTCCAACTGGTCCCTCTTGTCTGGCTGAAATTCCCCCCTCTCCCTTCCTCTTCCAGCTTGGATCCCCCTGCCATGGAGAGGAGGAGGAGGACACTTGGGGTAGGCCCCGCCTTCACTCTACACATCTGTCCCCACCCCCCATCTTGCACCAGCCCCTGGGCTGGGCTCCCCCACTTACCTGGAGCTGTTCCCTGCAGGGGGAGTGTCCCTGGGGGCTGATAACTCCTCCCCTCCCTGAATCCCCCAGGGTGCTGGGCTCTGGGGGATCAAATATTGAGGGACCGGGCCGATGGGTTGGGGGGAGGAAACTGGGTGTTGAATGGTTGGGGCTGGGGGAGCTGGGTGCTGGGGCTATCGAGTGTTTGGGGATCATGGGATAAGAGGAGAGGGAGAGCACAGGGATAGAGAGGTGCTGCCTCTTCTCACTCACCCCCTCTTCCCCTTCTCCCTGCCCCCGCTGCATTCAGACAGCACCACTGAGAGGGGCCGATTCCCACAGGGCCTTTTGTGGGACACGTGGAGATCTCACCCCTGCCTATGTAGCCTCATTCTCTGAGGTTCTCTCTGTGGTCGGAAACGTGGTTGGGATTAGCCAGAGCATCTCTATATCCCTCCACCAGGTTTCCTGGTGTAAACTGTCTGACACTGGCAGAGCAGGTGCCAGAGCCCTAGACCAATTCACTTGTGTATTAGGATAGGCTAGATCAAAGTGACTGTTAAATGTATACGTGTGTAGTTGGCGTTTAAACTTCATGACAACCAATAGGATGTTACTTGCATTTTTTCACTTAACTATACCTTGTTATAATGTAGTAGCAAACATTTGCATTGTGTATACCCCTGTAATGAAATAACGTATCAAACGAGGAAGAAGCCTTGTGGAATGAAAATGAGGAACATTAACAGAAAAGAGCTAATTTCAAAGCAAGTGGGCGTTGTGCGTGAGACTCGGAGGTCAAAGTCTCAAAATGCGTTCCTCACTCTCTGCCATGAGAGGAAAAGCCCACATGGCTAGTGACCCTGTCAGCCTGTTTTCTCTAAGAGGAAGCCATTAGTATGGATTCAAGGAAAGGTCTGTCTTCTCCAGGCTGTCCGGATTCTTACAGGGATGTGTGCAAGGCAGAAAGTGGAGCTCCCCAGGGACAATCTGGGTCAGGAGGTGGGCAAACTTTTTGGCCTGAGGGCCACATTGGGGTTCCAAAACTGTATGGAGGGCCAGGTAGGGAAGGCTGTGCCTTCCCAAACAGCCTGGCCCCCTGCCCTCTATCCATCCCCTCCCACTTCCTGCCCCCTAACTGCCCCCCTCAGAATTCCTGACACATCCAACCATCCCCCCTGCTCCTTGTCCCCTGACCACCCCTTCCTGGGACCTCCCGCCCCATCCAACCCCCCTGCTCCCTGTCCCCTGACTGCCCCAACCCCTGTCCACACCCTTGCCCCATCCAACACCTCCCTAAGCTCCAGGGCCACCAACTGAGGTCGGGCACCTGTAGGGTAGGTCAGACTCCGGAACTGCTGCCAGAAGGTTTCTGGGCTGATGTCCAAGGCATCCAGAATTGCTGCCTTTACCCGAGCGTAGTCCCGTGCCTTCTCTGTCGATAGCCCGCATTACACAGTTTGGGCAGTCCTGGTCAGACACAGAGCCAGGAGGGTGGCCCATTGGTCTCGGACCCACCCCGCAACTCACGCCACCCTCTCAAAGGTCACAAGGAAGGCCTCGGGGTTATTGTTGGGGCCCATCTCGGTCACCCAGATTGGCGGGGCTATGCTGGACGTCCCAGCGGCATCTCCCGGCTGGGGTTTCGCAGGATGGGGGAGCGGAGTCACCAGCTGCTGCAGGCATTGCTGCTGGTGGTCCCGGTTCTGGCACCCCAGCTCCAAAATCAGCTGTTGCTGCTGCACCCCTAACTGCTGCACCAGCTGCTGGAGATGGGCTGCCTGCTGCTGGCTCACGGCCAGGAACTTAATGAGCTTGTCCATATCCGTGGTCATCCCAGGCACGTTCCTCCTCCAATCCCTTCTCACCAGGATCGGGGGATCACTGCCCACATTCTCCACCACGTGTGGAGGGGTTTGGCCAGGGCCCATCCCTCTCCGGGGAGGCGGGGGACCACGCCGCCTCGGTACTTCCTTCCAGTTGTGACAGGGAATTAGCCTGGCCGCGGGAGTCTCTCACCATGGCAGCAGTAGAGGCAAACACAGACAGTTATTTACGCACGGCCCATGGTCAGCAGGCAATAGTGAGTCATGGGCTCAGGTCCTCAGGCAAGGGGTGAGCAAACAGTTATATAATTAGCAGGCCCCGGGTCTGAGCAGGGCAGCAAAGAGTCAATGGCTCAGGACCTCAGGCATAGGCTGAAAAAGGCAGGTAAACAATAAGCCCAGGCTCTTGGCTCAGTGGGGCCTGGGAGAGGGGGAGACTGCCACCCACAAGCTGGGTGGCAGGGGGGACGCAGGCCCACCCACTCCACTGCGTCCCAGCCCGGGGCCCTAGCAGCGGCAGAAGGCCAGCTGCTGAGTGAGTCAGGGAGGGATCCTGGCTTCAACACATTGACATAGGCTTTGGCAGTGCTGCAGCCAGACTAGGGTCGGCTGCCCATGGGCTACTTCTGAACTCCCCCTCCAGAGGTACCTGGTTCTGGATGGTGTCCTCCGGGGGGGGGTCCAGCACCATGGGATCTTCAGGGAAAATGGCGAGGAGTAGGCTTGGCAGCTCCTGTGGGTAACTGGCGAGGGGCAGGCTAGGCAGCTCCTCCGGGCTCTGGTCAAGCGGGCCAACCTTCTGGTCTGCTGCTGGTTGCTGGGGTCTCCCAGCTAGGCTACAGGCATCTAGCCTCTCCAGCAGCTGCTCCTGTAATGAGCTCTGGGGTTGGGCTTTTATACTTCCTGTCCTGCGCCTTGACCTCTAGGGGGCGGGTGCAGGATTCGCTGGCTCCGCCCACTTTGGTGTCCAGAGGAGCTTGTCCCTCTCCAGGGCGGAGGGGAACCACACTGTAAGGGCCAGAGTCTTTCAAATGTATATGAATCCACTGGCCTTGCTTTGAAAAGATTTCAGATGAAAAAAAAAATGTTAGGGAGTTTAAACAGCCCTATAAACTTAGACAGCTTGTTGGGGAGACAATGTTGTTGGAACATGAATGTCTCCATGTCGATTCTTTAAGTAAGCAGTCTGTGACTCAGGTAGTGAGGAAAGATCGGGTTACTGGTTTTTCAGAGCAGAACAGCCCTATAACTGAATCCACAAGGATGCAGGGGACAGCAGGTAAACTCTCATCTCTAGACAATTTGAATATGACCTGTAGTCTCGTAATGGACTTGACATCTGATTCCATGTGGAAGCAGAGGTTGGTAATGGAAGGACAAAAGAACCTTGAGTCTAACATGCTAGTGAAAATGGATGGGATCTCTTTAAGACAGAGTCCAGCCTTGGGATTGGTAATACTTGGGGATCTGAAAACTAGTAAACAAGCTAGTGTCTGTGTTGATGCAAATTACCGGACTGACTGGGGGGAGAAAGACTTGCCCACGGCCATTAGCAGAGGATTCACCCAGCCAGCCAATGGATTCTCTTACACAAAAGAGTTCAAATTTTGACCCTCGGGAACAGGGAGAAAGGGAAAAAGTTTATGTGCTAATGAAAGCCACAGGTTAACCCTAGGTTTCAGAGTAACAGCCGTGTTAGTCTGTATTCGCAAAAAGAAAAGGAGGACTTGTGGCACCTTAGAGACTAACCAATTTATTTGAGCATAAGCTTTCATAGCTGTAGCTCACGAAAGCTTATGCTCAAATAAATTGGTTAGTCTCTAAGGTGCCACAAGTCCTCCTTTTCTTTTTAGGTTAACCCTAAAATGCCAAAACCCCAATGGTATTGAGCCAAAGGCATAACAAAACTGATTGTGAATGTACACTTGTAATAAATTTAATGTTAATGCTAATGTTAACTTTTCTGACTGTGGTGCGGATACCAAGAACTGTAAAAATGTACAATGTGCAGGGTTTTCTGGAAAAACCCTTGAACCTATTAGGAGTGATACATAAGAACACGTTGTAAAAGCCTTCGTGGTTCTACTGTTTCATTACATGACAACATACTTTATGTTAAAAAGCCTGGTGATACTGATATTTCACAGTTAGTGCCTGTATCTAATCTTGAAACAAGCTGGTATGATCCCTTTGGGGACAGCTTACCTGGAAATTTGAGTGTCTAGTGGAGAGGGGCTGGACACTAGAGAAGGACATGATGGAGGAGCTTGAGGACAAGGTTGTGCCTAGTGTGAACCTGCAAGGCTAAGTAAGGACTAGCAGAGCCCTGGGGAGTTTGTGTGGGGAGCTAAAAGGCTGGAGGTGACAGGGAACAGACACCCAGTTCAGCAGCAGCACGTCCCCCTTGCGTTGAGGCAACAAGGAGATTCACAGTCCTGGGCACCCTGAGAAAACGTCACAGCCGGAACCTTCAGCCTGTGGAGCTCAAGGATGGCAAAATAACACCTCCAAGGGGCTTAAAAAAAAACAAACAACCCACCCCGCTCCAATGCCAGGGATTCCGCAAGCTCCCTTCGAAGCTATTCCAGAGCTTAAATACCTGCATGGTTAGAAAGTTTCCTAATCTCGCACCTAAATCTCCCTTGCTGCAGTTTAACACTTTTTACTTCTCATCCTCCCTTCAGTGGCCACGGAGCACAACTGATCCCCAGTCTCTGTATAACAGCCCTTAGCAGGTCTGCAGACCATGGCCAGTCTGCTTTTCTCAAGACTAATAGACCCACTTCTTTTAACCTTCCGCCACAGGCCGGGTTTTCTCAACCTTTTACCATTTTTGTTGCTCTCCTCAGGACTCGATCCAATTTGTCCTCATCTTTCCTAAAGTGTGGTGCCCAGTACTGGACACAGGACTCCAGCTGAGGCCTCCCCAGTGCCCAGCAGAGCAGGACAACGACCTCCTGCAAACTTACACACAACACTCACATTAATACACATTAATACACCCCAGAATACCAGCCTTTTCCCCAGCTGCATCAATGGGTGACAGCCGGACAACCTCAGAGTCCATTAAAGACCATTTCCCCTCCCCCTCATTATTGAAGACAAGGGACACTGGGAGTTTGATAAACCAAATGCTACTTTGTTCTTTTCAAAGCAAGAAATAAAAGCTAAATCCCCCACCCCATCCAACACCCAGCTCAGCATGGTGCATTTCAGCTCCAGCCCAGCACATTGGTGCTCCAGCTACACACGCGCCCCAGGGAAAGAGGAACAAGTTAAAGCTGGTAGAAAAGCGCTAACAATCCATGAGAGAGGCATTTGCCTGACCTCCTCCTCTCAGTAATGGGGAAACGCCGACCCCTCTCCACTTCAGTCCTCTTGGGGCATCATTGGTAGCCCTTTAGAGTTCAAGGATCACTTCATCCAGCACTCCTAGGACACTTCCTCTCTCTCTGGGACATGTGCAGTGAGTTCACAGTTCTCAGCCTCAGCTGTCTGGCTGACAAGAGCAAACTGTGCCTGTAACAGTGCCTCCCTGGGTCACAACTGAAAATACCAAATTCAGGACAAACTGCTGAGAAATGAGGCAGACACACCGCAAAACTGGTGATTATTCTCCCATGACATATACCAAACCAGCAACAAAAATAAACTTCTGTTTCACCACACTGGCTAACAAGACGTCCAAAAAGCAGTTTCCTTAGGCATTCAAGCCCTTATATCACCACCAAAAAGCCTGAACTTAATGAGTGGTTATTTACAATTAATTTAATTAAACAGCAGTTTCTTCTGATCCCAAAAGGACCAGCCAAACACCCAGGTCAATATATAACTCAGATCTTACCCAATAATCATGCTGTTGCCAATCCTTTAGTATCTAAAATCTAGAGGCTTATTTATGAAAAAGAAAGAAAGGTGAGACTTAACATTTGATTAAAGGAATCAAATACATACAATAAATGCAAAGTTCTTGGTTCAGGCTTGTAGCAGGGATGGAATAAACTGCTGGCTTAAGTCAAGTCTCTGGCTGCTTCCAAATCATTGGGAAGTCCTCAGTCCTTTGGTTAGAATGCTCCCATTAGTATAAGTCCATAGTCCACAGGTTTGAGCAGGAAAAAGGCAAAACAGAGATGTTTCCAGGGCCTTTTATAACTTCTCTCAAGTGAAGGGAACCTCATTGTTCTCACTGTGGCAAACCACAGGAACAAGATGGTGTGTGGAGTCACATGGGCAAGTCACATGTCCATGCCTGATTTCGTTTAGTCACTCACAGTAGAGGCCATTACATAAAGTCCGTTCAGCGCAGGTTGGCATCTGCCATTGTGAGTTAAGTGTTCTTTTGATGGGCCACTCAACTTGAATAGTTCCTCCAAGATGTGCAGGTGAACTACCTTGTGGGTGTTACCCAGGAGCAAACATTTTTGTAATACAGGTATAGAGCCAGTAGTCATAACTTCAAATACAAAAATGGTACATACATACAAGTAGCATAGTCATATTCAGCAAATCATGCCCTTTCCATTGACACCTTACACAGCACACTTTGTGTAAGATTCATTGCAATTTTATCACAGTGGTAGCAACAATGCTCTACATGGTCATATTTTAATCAGATAATGTCAAGGCCCTGTCCACCCAACCACTCTCTCCCCATCCTGATTGTATCTCACATCTCTGCAGGGATCAGGCAGTCACTTCCTTCCCCATTTCAGTCTCTGACTCTCGGAGTGCTCAACCTTAGTGTTTTTGCGGATAGATGCTGATCATTTTCATTGTTCAAAGGACAAGAAAATCTCACGACATAGGGAAACGTGAAAAGAAAATCAGAAAGGACTATTCTAGCAAGTGATCATTTGTCTTTTGAAGTCCCCAATAAATCTGAGTTACATCCTGTTAAAGTAATTTAATATCAAAATACGTGGCAGAACAGGCTTCACCAAAAAGAACCCCCCCACACAAACCAGGGTGGGCTACAAACCACTTTCCCATTCATGAAGTGAAATCCTAGAGAATCTTAAAACTCAAAATCTGGAGAATAAATTTACCTATTTCCTTCTGAACAGGCTAAACCTGCTTTACTAAGCACCAGCACATAATTTGACTGTGTTATTGACAAAAGTTTTAGCATCATCGTAATGGGGAAAAAAAAAAGAAAAGGAAAAAAAGACGAACCTAACCAAAAACTTCCTATCTAGAAATGATCTGGATTTGCCTGGAAAAACTCCAGATGCTACTTTAGCAATAGGGATTGAAGCTCAAACTGTGCTTTGGGGTTCATTTGAATTTCCCCTTCAGGAATGTGACATTTTCTTCTCAAGTTTTCAGGGGCCCGATTGAGGATCAAAGAAATCAAAGCTTTATTCCTAAGCATGGTGGGCAAAGGACACTGTGGTAAATGACACACATGAAGCGGGAGGGGTAGAAAGGGAAAAGGATAAACTCTCCACAGCTTGGGCAGAGGCTGCTCTGTGAGAGAAGACAGGTGAGGTTGATAGGGGCAGGAGGGAATCCCCCAGACTCATCCAGTCCCTCTCAAACAACACAGAAGTTAAAACACCACATTATTTTACAATCCCTGCTCCAGCTCTTTTAGAATCTATTGAATGCTGGTGTATACGGGAGAAACAGCACAAAATAAATAAATGCTTTTCAGCATAAGCTAGAGGAATATGAGGATGTCTGGGAATGAGACAATCTCACCCCAAAGGGGGGGACTTAGTGATTCTAACAATCACTCTGCTAATGGGGGATTGGAATAAATTGCTCAGAGTCAGTCTAGACTAGAACAGGGGTGGAGGAATAAAGGAGACGCACTAGCTAATCCCAACCACTTTTCCTGCCCTAGACAGACTCTCGGAGACTGATATGATTACTCCCCATTTATTCCCAGTAGACTCCTGAGTCCCAGGCCAGTTTGCTATCCACTAGGAAATGCTGCTTCCCTCGCAGAGGCTGATGCTGCTGTAGCAGAGGTGGGAAAACCAGGCTTCGAAGAAAAGGCCCTGTGGAAACCAGTCTCTGATAATGGTGCTGTCTAAAAGCAGAGGGGGCAGGGAGAAAGGGGCAGAGGGGGTGAGTGATGAGAGGCAGCACCTCTCTACCCCTGTGCTCTTCCTCTCTTCTTATCCCATGAGCCCCAAAAAATTGATAGCCCCAGCACCCAGCTCCCCTTGCTTCCCAGCTCCCCCAGCCCCAACCATTCAGTCCCCATTGTCTTCCCCAGACAGCCGTCACCTTCAGCCCCCAACTAAAACCTCTCCAACGCATCATCAAGGATCTACAACCTATCCTGAAGGACGACCCATCACTCTCACAAATCTTGGGAGACAGGCCAGTCCTTGCTAACAGACAACCCCCCAACTTGAAGCAAATACTCACCAGCAACCACACACCACACAACAGAACCATTAACCCAGGAACCTATCCTTGCAACAAAGCCCGTTGCCAACTGTGCCCACTATTCAGGGGACACCATCACAGGGCCTAATCACATCAGCCACACTATCAGAGCCTCGTTCACCTGCACATCCACCAATGTGATATATGCCGTCATGTGCCAGCAATGCCCCTCTGCCATGTACATTGGGCAAACTGGACAGTCTCTACGTAAAAGAATAAATGGACACAAATCAGATGTCAAGAATTATAACATTCATAAACCAGTCGGAGAACACTTCAATCTCTCTGGTCACTCGATTTGTGATCTCAAAGTGACTATCCATCAACAAAAAACCTTCGAAAACAGACTAACGAGAGACTGCTGAATTGGAATTAATTTGCAAATTGGACACAATTAACTTAGGCTTGAATACAGACTGGGAGTGGTTGAGTCATTATACTGAGTAAAACTATTTCCCCTTGTTTATTCCTCCCCCCCCCCCCACTGTTCCTCAGACGTTCTTGTTAACTCCTGGAAATGTGCTGGAAATGGCCCACTTTGATTATCACTTCAAAAGGTTTTCTCTCCCCCCACCCCACTCTCCTGCTGGTAATAGCTCATCTTAAGAATGATGAAGAATTGCAACTTTTACGTCTGTAATCGAGTGACCGAACAGATTGAAGTGTTCTCCGACTGGTGTTTGAATGTTATAATTCTTGATGTCTGATTTGTGTCCATTTATTTTTTTATGTAGAGACTGTCTGGTTTGACCAATGTACATGGCAGAGGGGCATTGCTGGCACATGATGGCATATATCACATTGGTAGATGTAACTCTCATTACAGTGTGTATGCTAACACCCATTGTTTCATGTTCTCTATGTATATAAATCTCCCCACTGTATTTTCCACTGAATGCATCCAATGAAGTGAGCTGTAGCTCATGAAAGCTTACGCTCAAATAAATGTGTTAGTCTCTAAGGTGCCACAAGTCCTCCTTTTCTTTTTGCAAAGAATGGGGCAGACAATCCTCAAAATTGGTGGATATTCCAATATTTCAATTCACCAAGCCAGCAACCAAACAGCTTCTACAATACCGTACCCGCTACACAGAGGCCAAAGCACAGCTCCCTTGAAGCAACCCAGCCTGGGGCTGCCTCCCAGACATCCCACTTCAACATGATGGGGATTACTAAAAATCTTGTTCATCTTATAAAAAGTTCTACCAATCCCAAAGGATCAGAAACATCACCCACCAAGTTAATGAATACTTCAGTTCTTACCCAAATACACGCTTACAGCCAATTCTTATGAACAAAACTAAGATTTATTAAAAGAAGAAAAGAGAGAGAGTATTGGTTAAAAGATCATTATACACACAGACATGAACAGAGTCCTTAGGGCAGTTTCACTGCAGAGATGGTGCTTTAGAATTGAATAGAATCCTTTTCAGAATCATTTCATCATGTTCTAGTCCAATGTCCAAATGTTCGATATCTGGGAGGTCCAGCTGGACTGGAGATCTCAGTCTTCTGATTCGAACTTCCCCCAAATAAAGCTTAAGAAGATCTGAGATAAAAAGATCAGGTCCCAAGAGTTTTTATACAGATTTTTGCAGCCTCTCGTCAGCACACAGTCCTTGGGTGAACTATTGTTCACTAGGCTTTTGAAGTAAGCTTCTATTTCCTAAACATCACCAGTAATTAATTTCAGGGATTAACATAAGGTAATTATCCATAAAGCAGTTCATAGACAGTTAACCACAAACTTTAAAGAGACATGCAGACGATGACATTATTACACCCAAGTTTCATTTACATGTTAATATTCCCTTTTGATCTCTGACTTAACAGAATACAGCCCTAGACAGGAACCGTTAGGTTCCATTGTTAACCTCTAACAAGATAAAGGTAAACATAGACTACTACAGGTTTCAGAGGAGCAGCCGTGTTAGTCTGTATTCGCAAAAAGAAAAGGAGTACTTGTGGCACCTTAGAGACTAACCAATTTATTTGAGCATGAGCTTTCGTGAGCTACAGCTCACTTCATCAGATGTTTACAGTGGAAACTGCAGCAGACTTTATATACACACAGAAATCATGAAACAATACCTCCTCCCACCCCACTGTCCTGCTGGTAATAGCTTATCTAAAGTGATCAACAGGTGGGCCATTTCCAGCACAAATCCAGGTTTTCTCACCCTCCACCCCCCCACACAAATTCACTCTCCTGCTGGTGCTAGCCCATCCAAAGTGACAACTCTTTACATAATCAAGTCGGGCTATTTCCTGCATAGATCAAGGTTTTCTCACATCCCCCCCACCCCCATACACACACAAACTCACTCTCCTGCTGGTAATACTACTACAGTTACCATCTCCTTCCATGTCTTTAACAACACAAGTTTACATTTCAAAGCTCAAGCTTATCTAATGTGGAAACACTTTTCTAACATATCTCTAAAGGTTGAATCTGGGTCAATTACATGCAAGTTGCTTAACCCTTTCTCTCCCTAAAAAGAAAAGGAGTACTTGTGGCACCTTAGAGACTAACCAATTTATTTGAGCATGAGCTTTCATGAGCTACAGCTCACAAGTACTCCTTTTCTTTTTGCGAATACAGACTAACACGGCTGTTACTCTGAAACCTTTCTCTCCCTGTGTCACAGAAGTTTAGATCCTGTGTGGATTCTCCCATGTTTAATGAGGTGTGATCTCTGTGTGAAACTTTTCCCACAGTCCAAGCACTTGTGGGGTCTCTCTCCTGAGTGGATTGCTTGATGTTTAACAAGGTTTGACCTCTGAATGAAACATTTCCCACAGTCCAAACACTTGTGGGGTCTCTCTCCTGTGTGGATTGCCTGATGTTTAACAAGGTCTGACCTCCGTATGAAATTTTTTCCACAGTCCAAGCACTTATGTGGTCTCTCTCCTGTGTGGATTAGCTGATGTTTAACAAGGTCTGACCTCTGTATGAAACTTTTCCCACAGTTCAAGCACTTATGGGGTCTCCCTGCTGTGTGGACTGCCTGATGTTTAAAAAGGGCTGATCTGTTTCTGAAACTTTTCCCACAGTCCAGGCATTTATGGGGTCTCTCTCCTGTGTGGATTGCCTGATGTTTAATAAGGTCTGACCTCCGTAGAAAACTTTTTTCACAGTCCAAGCACTTATGGGGTCTCTCTCCAGTGTGGATTGCCTGATGTTTAACAAGGTCTGACCTCCTCATGAAATTTTTTCCACAGTCTAGGCACTTATGAGGTCTCTCTCCTGTGTGAACTGCCTGATGTTTAATAAGGTCTGACCTCTGTATGAAACTTTTCCCACAGTCCAAGCACTTATGAGGTCTCTCTCCTGTGTGGATTGCCTGATGTTTAAAAAGGGCTGATCTGTTTCTGAAACTTTTCCCACAGTCAAAGCACTTATGTGGTCTCTCTCCTGTGTGGATTGCCTGATGTTTAACAAGGTCTGACCTCTGTATGAAACTTTTCCCGCAGTCCAAGCACTTGTGGGGTCTCTCTCCTGTGTGGATTGCCTGATGTTTAACACTGGCTGATCTGTTTCTGAAACTTTTCCCACAGTCCAAGCATTTATGGGGTCTCTCTGCTGTGTGGATTCTCCCATGTTTAATGAGGTGTGATCTCTGTGTGAAACTTTTCCCACAGTCCAAGCACTTGTGGGGTCTCTCTCCTGAGTGGATTGCTTGATGTTTAACAAGGTTTGACCTCTGAATGAAACATTTCCCACAGTCCAAACACTTGTGGGGTCTCTCTCCTGTGTGGATTGCCTGATGTTTAACAAGGTCTGACCTCCGTATGAAATTTTTTCCACAGTCCAAGCACTTATGTGGTCTCTCTCCTGTGTGGATTAGCTGATGTTTAACAAGGTCTGACCTCTGTATGAAACTTTTCCCACAGTCCAAGCACTTGTGGGATCTCTGTCCTGCATGGATTGCCTGATGTTTAACAAGGTCTGACTTCTGTATGAAACTTTTTCCACAGTCCAAGCACTTATGGGGTCTCCGTCCTGTATGGATTGCCTGATGTTTAAAAAGGGCTGATCTGTTTCTGAAACTTTTCCCACAGTCCAAGCATTTATGGGGTCTCTCTCCTGTGTGGATTGCCTGATGATTAACAAGGTCTGACCTCTGTATGAAACTTTTCCCACAGTCCAAGCATTTGTGGGGTCTCTCTCCTGTGTGTATTGCCTGATGTTTAACAAGATCTGACCTCCGTATGAAACTTTTCCCACAGTCCAAGCACTTATGGGGTCTCTCTCCAGTGTGGATTGCCTGATGTTTAACAAGGTCTGACCTCCATAGGAAACTTTTTTCGCAGTCCAAGCACTTATGGGGTCTCTCTCCTGTGTGGATTGCCTGATGTTTAAGAAGGTCTGACCTCCTCATGAAATTTTTCCCACAGTTTAAGCACTTATGGGGTCTCTCTCCTGTGTGGATTACCTGATGTTTAATAAGGTCTGACCTCTGTATGAAACTTTTCCCACAATCCAAGCACTTATGGGGTCTCTCTCCTGTGTGGATTGCTTCATGTTTAGAAAGGGCTGATCTGTTCCTGAAACTTTTCCCACAGTCCAAACACTTATGGGGTCTCTCTCCCGTGTGGATTGCCTGATGTTTAATAAGGTCTGACCTCTGTATGAAACTTTTCCCACAGTCCAAGCACTTGTGGTGTCTCTCTCCTATGTGGAATGCCCGATGTTTAACAAGGTGTGACCTCCATATGAAACATTTTCCACAGTCTAAGCACTTATGGGGTCTCTCTCGTGTTGGGCTTATCTGATGTGTAATTAATGCTGACTTCCAATTTAAACAGTTTCCGCACTCAAGGTATTGATAGGGTTTCTCTCCCATGTGGCTCCTCCCATGGTTATTAAGAAGTGAGAGGTTATTGAAGCTTTCCCCACGGTCCAAGCATTGAAGGGGTTTCTTTCCAGTATGGATTGTCTGTTGTGTCACACGGTGTGATCTCAGAATGAATCCTTTCCCACATTCGAGGCACTGATAGGGTTTCTCTTCCTTCGGATTTGTCTGCTGGGCTGTGGTATCCTTGTATACTCCCCCACATTTAATAGATTCATCCACTTTCTTCCTTGGGTGGTTTTCCAGCTGCCTCTCTGACCTGTGCCAATTTCCCCAGGCTTCTCCCTCTTTCAAGGACTGGGATAAACTCCCTTCTGCTCTTCCCACAAAGGTCCCCTGTGGTTCCACTTCCCCAGGAACTTCCTCATGATGATTCCCCTCCTCCTTCTCATTCACTCTCTCATCACCTGCTGGGAGAAAGAGACAATCCAGACAGGAGTCATTGTGCTGGGGAGAAAGAGGAATAGCACCAAGGGAAAACCCAACACGCTAACACTGTAAACACTGAGCAACTGGATTTTGCCTCCACATCCCACCTAAATATTCACAGGGAAGGAACGTTGGGAAGGAGACTCCTGCAGCGAACAGGACGGGTGGAGAGCCATGAGCGATATCTGCTGACTACAGCCCTGCCCTGGCTGAGATGAGGAAGAACTAAGGGCTCTTACTCACGCCATATTTTTGGGATTCTCAACGTTTTCCTTCATTCCCCAGATGGTTTCTGTGTCAGTCCTCACCTGTGTGGGGGCCTCTTGGGATCTCTCTTTCCTCGGAGGCCTGGAGATCGGGCACCCACAGCTCTTCCCCTCGTTCCAGGTGGGAGATCAGATCAGGTTTGGGAATGGGAAATCCTGTGCAGGGGGGGAATCAGACCAGATCAGGGCTCATGGAGGATTGAGAGAGTGTCTGTCACAAAGGGCATTCCATGAGTGGTATCTCTCCCCATGCTCTGCTGGGGAAGCACGGAATCCAACAGGACGGGAATATGGTCACTGAGCCGTCTTGGGAGAGGCAGACATCTGGGGAGGTGAGGGGAATTGTTACACCCTCACAAGGAGTTCCCAGGATCTGTGTTCTGTGGGGCCTTGCTGACGCGCACACAGCTCTGGAGATATACCATTTCCTATTTCTAAATCTGTAGAGCCCAGAGTCTTCTCCAGGGTTGGAGCTATTCTCAAGAAGGGAAAGGGAGAGGAATTTTATGTGTCAATAAGAAACAATACAGACAGGACAATGAACGACTTCTGCCCCATTGAATGCAGGAGGGGTGGGCATGGTTTAGCATCTCCATTAGGTTTTGACACCCGTGTCCCATTGAAAGTTTCTCTCACATGGCAGCTGCACATTATGGAACCCATTCTCCTTCAATCTACTGACCAGGGAAGAACCTTACCCGAGTCAGAAATGAAGACACCATGACTTATAATAATTCAGCAGACAGGAATCCCTTACCCAGCGAGGTCACCAACTCATAATTTTCCTGCATGACGTCCCTGTACAGAGCTCTCTGATTGGGGTCCAGCAGAGCTCCCTGCCCTTGGGTGAAATACACAGCCACCTCCTCAAAGGTCACCGGCATCTGGAACAACAAGAGACCCGCACTCAGCACCTGCTGCCCCAGCCACAATCCCACTAGTCACATGGGAAAGGAAGAAAGAAAAAAAAACATCTCGGAAGCTCTGGGAGGGCCAGAGTAGCAGAATCCCATCCCCATCCTGCTCAGAGTGCCAGGAGTCTTCATGGGGTGGGGAGGTAAGAGCTCCTTGACCCCCCCAGCAGATGGAGCAGGGCAGGGTCTTCTCATTTACCAATTACCACACACCTGCCAGCCATATAATATGGCTGATATGGGAAGCAGAGCTCTGAGTCAGGGACAGGGATAAGAATCCAGACAGCTTCCCTTCATATTTCACAGCAGCCTCTGGCCAGTGGGGTCAGGCTCCAGCACTGGGAGTCTGGAAAACGGTGGTATGCCCCCTCCTACTCAGAAAATCAGCAGGTTTATCACACCCTGTCTCCTCCCTGCCTCTCCCTCCCCCTGCCCAGCAGCTCCCTGAAAATCCCCTACCTGAGCTGGCTCCATCACAGCCATTTCCCTTCCCTGTCTCCTGGAAGACGGGATGATCTCGAGTGAAATCTGTCAGGGCCAGAGGGTCTATTGGGAAGGTTTCAGAAGGGGCTTGAGTCCATGTCACACCCTGATTCCCCCCAGGCTCTCTCCCTGCAGACAGATGCTCTGGACTCTGCCATGCTGGGAAGAAATCCAATTAGTTCATTACCATCCAGGCCAGGCCCCTCCCAGAAGAACTAAACCCACTGGGGCACTTTTAAACTCTCCCCGTAACAGCATCTCTGAGCTGAATGCCGGAAAAAGAGCAGAATCAAAGGAGCCACTTTGGGGGATTCCCCCTGACATTGTTGTGTCACTCCCTCTAACTCTCCCCTTTCCCTCCCAAGTAGTGCCGTGTTCAGCAGAGTCAGCAACTGGTTTTCCCTCTCTCAGCTCCTCCCCTTGTTCCCAGGAGAGTCAATCTGCCCAGGAGGGTGCAGGGAATGGATCTGGGCAGGTCTGGGAGCTGGGAACCTCCCTCCCCATTTGTTTTTCCTGGTGCCCCTTCCAGTCTCTCCTCTCTTCTTTTTTATCATTGTCCCTCGCCTTAGGAGAAATGGCGACTGCTCCATTGTTGTGGGCTTTGGTCTCATTAGGCAGATCAGCCACTGCTAACAGAGGTTTGAACCTGGGTGTATCCATGAGGGCAGCAGCTCTGGGACTCACAGACACACAGGGAGCCCCCTCCCCACGTAGGTCAAACTCACCAGCAGGTCCCTGAAAGGGGCCCTTTGAGCAGAGCCACTTTCCTGCCCGGCTCCAGCCCTTTCCCCCAGGTCTCCCCCATCACCTGTAGGCTCCAGCTTAGGAGCTCGTGTCGGCAGAGCCTGGGGCTGCCCCATGGGCTGGTTCCAGCCACCACAGCAAGTTCCCAACTGGGCTGGGCACAGAGGGGGATTTAACAAAGGTCTCTCCTCTGCTGGATAAGAAGCAGCTTCTAGGTTTGGGCTCCCAGGTCAAAATACAGGAGGCAGCAGCTTCAGACCCAGGGAGCTCAACTCCAGAGCTCTAATATCCTGAGCAGAGAGAGACACACACCCGCCTCCTCCTCTCCCTTAGCAATAACCAGAGCCCTCTGGTGGCAACACCCAATTAACGAGCCGCCTTGGACTCTGCCCCCAGTCCCAGGGCAGGCAGTGTTACCTATCAGCTCTGGGTTCTTGGGGAACCAGGGCACAGTATCCGGCCTGTCTGACTCTTCAAGGACCACCCCGCCCCGGTGCCTCTGCTTGAACCAAAACCAATCAGAAGAAAGACTTACAGAAAGCAATGAAAAGGTGGTGGGAGACACACCTAAACCCCTCCGGACAAGGGGGACAGGATTAAGGCAACTCCCCTAGCCTCATTTTCATAGAAGATGGGACAAGGAAGCACCTCCATTAGCATACAGAATGGAGAACAGAGATTCCAAGGCAAGAACCACATTGAACTCTGGGACCAGAAAAGCAGGGAAGCACTGCATGATGGGGGAATCTCTGCTCCAGATGTTAACGAACCCACGCCTGCAAATTCTCAATTACCAAGAGACAATTTACACTCAATGATATATTTGCTTTCGACAAACAACTCTCTGTATACTCATTTCATGAGTGATGTATCCAAGTATTCGGATTCTAATATCTAAACTGTATTGTTAAATTTATTCCCCTAAATTTGAGTTATTGCTGACTATGTACTTCATGTATCTTTGACTTTTAAAACAAACTTCGTATTAGTGGATATTTCTAAGCACTATACTCAGATGTACACAGACTCTTTTCTTAACCTGTGTATTATGTAATTTTTTTTTAATGTTAGCTTTAATAAATCCTTTATTGGTATCCAAAATACTGAAGCTGCCAAATTGCATTGTAAGCTCCCTTGAAGGAACACTGCCCATAACCAGGAATGATCAGTAACTATTGTCTAGCCTGAACAATACAACTTTGGTATATTCCCTTGAGCCATCAGTTTACACATAAACAAATCTAGTGTTCTCCCTTGAACCATTCTTGTTTCCCTACCAAACCCCCTGCCCAAACTCAAGTAAGTTTTCTGATGCCTAGATCCAAAATCTGTTTCAGTTCCATTGGAACTCCATCTTCTGATTGATCATGCTGGGGGCTCTGCCTGTCTCCAGCACTCCGGACCCTCAGCTGCCACCACCACCTAGGAACCCCGATCGATTGCTCTAAATCACATGATAAAAGGTAATGTATAATCTTTAAAAAGGAAGAAGGAGGATCCTGAATAAGGATCACCTCACTTAGTCCCTAAAATCATGACAGTCCTCAAAGAATCAATCCTAACACTTACATGAGAGGAAAGTGATCAGAACACCACATGGATTCACCAAAAGGCATGCTGACTAATCTAATTGCCTTCTATGATGAATATGTTTTATAAGAAAAGTATTATTGTTTCTTGACTTTACAAATTTAACGCTCCCACAGTATTCTTGTCACAAGTAAAATATGTGAGAATGCACTACAAGGTGTAGAAATGTAGATTTCGGTCAACGTATATCAATCCCATGTTAGTGGCAATCATCCAACTGGTTTTGTAATATCTTCATAAATGATCTAATTTGGATACTCTCACAAATTTCATGATATAAACTGGGAGGAGTGTAGATACTGGAGGGGAGGGATAGGATACAGAAGGACTAGACAAATTGGAGGATTGGGAAAAGAAATCTGATGAGGTTCAATAAGGAAAGGCAGGGTGCACTTAGGACGGAAGAACCCAACACACTACAGACTAGGGACCGAAGCTAGCAGTCTGCGGAAAAGGACTGGGGGAAGGGCAACGGAATGAGGGCCCTTGTTGCCAGAAGGCCAAGGCATTTTGGGATGTATAAGTAGGGGAAGGGAGAGGGACGGAGTTCCCCTCTATTCGACATTGGGAGGCCTCACTGGGACTGTGTCCGTTTTGGGCCCCCCTTCGAAGGAGGGATAAATGGAGAGAGCACGAAGGGCAACAAAAAGATAGGGGCGGAACAGGTGAGGGAGGCGAGGGAGCGGGATGTTTAGCTGCAGAAGGAAGAAGAGGGGGATTGAAGGTTTTCAACTCCGAAAGGGGGTCAAAGAGGAGGCTAGGTTTCAAGGTAGGAGAGACGAACGGGAGAAGGCAAGTTACAGTGGGGGGGTTTAGATTGGATATTAGGAAAATTTCCTAAGAGGGAGGAAACCGAATGTACTGGGAGGGAGAACCCTCCTGGGTTTTGGCGGTGCGCGGGGTTAGGAATGGGCTTTGGGGGTTGGGGAGGTCCCTCCCAAGCATCATGGAGTGGTGAGAACCTGTCTCTCTCTCTCTCTCTAGGTATAGCCCTCTGACCCTGACTCGTGTGATCAGTTATAGTTTTCTAAACCTGACTTTTATAATCAAATTTAAGTTATATTTAATATTATAACTGTTTTTTTTTTGTTTGGCTCCTCTATGGTTATTACCTGGCAACAAATAACTTTCATGACTAAGCTGGTTGCTTCCCTCTCCCCCCGCCCCAACCCCGTCGGTATTTTTGGCTTCCTCATTTGCTCTGCAGCAATGCTCCTCCTCATACCTAAACTAAAGATCCCTGCAGCACCCAAAAATCCGGTGGCGTTTTCTCATCAAGTGGGTTACTACCAGAACAACTGTAAAGTGGAAGTGGGGATAGGGACGTGCTGAAACTGGGGCATAGGAGGGTGGCAGCTTGGAAACGCTGCTCAACCCAGCCTGCTGAGTCCAGGGGCATATAAGGGGTCAGCTTGGGAGTGCTGATTAACCCGGTCCTCTCAGACTTGCTCTGTTAGTGTGTGTGTGTCTTCATCTGATTCTGGGCTGGAAGAACCCAGCCCTGGGGAACCTAGGTCCTGCAGGACAGCTCCACTGGGAGGGGACTTGCAGAAGGGAGAAGTAGAGCTCCAGATGAGAACACAAGTGACACAAGCACTTGATAGAAGTACAGAACCCTCCGTCCCCGGAAGAGTAACCCTAATAAATGAACATACCCCATAGTAACGGGCAAATCTGGTAACAGCAGGCAGAGGCTGATCTCATTGGCCCATCCACACTCACCCACTGCCATAGCCAGCAGTGACTCTGGTCTGTCACCAGCGTGGCTGAGATCTGAATCCTGCACGTAAATCAGACCAGGGCCCTGGGCAGCCCAAAACACTCAGGAGATAGACCCCAAAATCATGAGTGTGTCTTTTTTATTTTAAAATCAAATAATAAGAGCAGGGGGTGGGTGCCTGGGAGGGGCAGCGGTTGCTGTGGATATTTGCCTTGTAGCTTCTGAGCCCTGAGGGGTTAGTCCCCTGCTCACCCGCAATGCTTGTTGGACCAGTTCCAGGAAAAATGTTCCCCACTGGCTGTTGGGTGGGGCAGCCCCTCATACTCTCCTACCCCATGGGGCAGCGGGGCTGCCATTGCTTGCATCTCTTATCATCCTTTTCCCTGCCCCCTGGCTCTCCCTTCCCCAGCCAGCCTCCTCTTGCTCTCACATTCTTCCTCCGGCCTCCCCTCCCCACATCCACCTTTCCCTCGCAGTGACCCCCCCACCACATTGTCCTTCCATTCCAACCTCGGTTCCCTCAGCCCCATAATTCCTACCTGCAGCCTGACTCCCCTGCATCGCCCCAAAATCCCTGTCCCCATCCTGCTGCCTGAATCTCCATCACCTGCCTCCTGCCACCTAAAGCATCCCTGTTCCCCCGCCTGCCCACACATCCCCTGAACCTCTTTAGCCTCCTCCCTCTGCAGCCCAGGGGTGACTGAGGGGCATCGCTTCCAGGGGTGGGGGGGAATGGGAGGGTCTCTCTTACCTTCCCTCCAAGCGGCACCATCCCTGGGAGCAGGGGCTGGGGCCTGGGCCTGGCCAGGCTGGGGGCTCTGCCCTGGGAGAGGCTCCGGGGGCACAGCAGGAATGTTACTGTCTTACACTATACACCTCTCCTGTCTGCAGCCAGGGCTCCAGGATTTTGCAAGGAATGGGGATTCTGCACAGCAGTGACCAGTGACTGCAACGAGTGTGATTCCCTTCCTGCTGCCATGAACGAGAGACTCCACTGATTGCTCCTGTAATGATAAGGCCTTTTCCTGTTGCCATATTGTGAGGCCTAAGGCCTCTGTCTGCAGCCATATTAGGAGAGCAGCAGCCATGAGCTAAGGAGGAAGTCACTCCTCACATTCGATCTAAATTACAATAAAAGGATGTAATATCAGGATGTTAAAAAGGAGACCCTGTCCTAATGGCACCCACTATCACCAGATAAAGAAACAGATCTTAAGATGGTTAAAGAAAACTTAGTTTGATGGCATCCTGTCTAGCAAGAGACCACTTATCAATAGTTGTGATTGTGAAATCCTCATTTCTTTATTGTTTTGTCTTTATGGTCCCCACTTCTCTATGTTTATCTGTTTCGTCTCTGTCTGGTTCTTTGATTGTTTCTGTCTGTTACATAATTAATTTTGGTAAGTGTAAATTAATTAAGGTGGTGGGGTAAGATTGGTGAGAGAATTTTGTTACAATATGTTAGGATTGGTTAGTAAAATTTTAGTAAAATGATTGGTTATGGTATAGTAAAGCAGGACTCAAGTTTCACTATATAAACTGTGGTCCAAGGAGAAGACCAGCAGAAAGAATCAGAAGAAGAAAAAGAAAAGACCTGGAAGAAGAAGAACTCACCTCTAAGATACACCACTCCAGATCCTTCTGGGCCCTACCAATAAACCCATTCCACTGAAACCTCCGTGCCCCACACCCTGCCCCTCAGAGCCTCCACGTCCTCTGGCCACAGCACTATGGGGGCATCATCCATAAATGTCACAGAGTCAATGGGACAACGAAAGGAGACATCTGGGTCCTGGGGACGGGGGAGAAGGGGCATTTCTATGGGGACCCACGA